TGTAGATTCTTCTTCTAATGTAAATAATATTTAATGCAATTTCCATTTCTTAAAGTGTTTTAAACGAAAAATTATTTTTGTACAATCATGTCTTTGCTCAAAAATAGTTTGACTTTTCTATTTAGTACATGTTTCGCGTAGTTTACATTTCTAGTTGATTGCTGTAAGTTTTTCATAGATGTTTTTGCAAATGTTGTCACTATTTTGGTTTCCACATTACTCATAAATAATACAGAACAAAAAATGTTTTATAGTCTGCGGGAAGAAAATCAGCATGACGGTTATGCAAACTCATTGATTCACAAAAAATGCTATTCCTTTTTTATATTAAGTATCCAGATGATTAGTGATGAACAATAACATTATTACCGCCACTGTTACGTAGTGTTGTCAACATAAAAAATAAGGGTAAATTACCTTATTTTTACCACCTCAAATTCCACTTCGTTTCTGTTTTCGCTCAGACTAGGGCTGAGATTCAGATTTAGCACTAACTAGTGACTACTAACTAGACTCCCCTATGTCAAAATCCAATACGTTATTAATAACTACATACATTTTGACATAATTACATACATTTTTTTTTAAACTTAACATACGGCAGACACACTGAATCTGATGGTTCGAAATTACGCAAATGTCACATGTGAAATAAATAATTAATTATAAATTGTTTATGTATTTATGTAGTTATATCATCTATTAAAACATTTAAGTTATTGTATATTGAACACTTCAATATCGGTGTTTCAGTTGTAAGCAGGGACAGACTGATCACATGTTGTGACGAAAATAAGTTGTGAAGTTTTGCATATCTCTTCTCTTTTTAGCGTAGCTTAGCTTAGCTTAAGAATGGTGATGTAGATGCCTTTATTATGCGCACATGGTTCAAAACCGCGGTTCAATTCGATGTAAGTATTCGATGTAAGTATTCGTTAAATATAATAAGATTGTAACCTTGTCATGACAGCCACCAATCCTTGATTTTTTTCTCAGTGTAACTCTCATAATCGCTCGTAACGTTTAAGTTTGAAACACTTAAATGGGGCCTAATTAATATTAACAACATCGTGGGAAAAGGACGTTGTTCGCTTTCCTCGACCTGTCTATCTACTGACTGGCCGGCCCATGGCTCATGTCTAAAAGTTGTATACATCCTTAGCGTTAGAAAAAACATTGTTAACGCGATTAAGGCTATGCGTCCACCGTCATCATATTAGTAGTAGCCACAGAGGTTTCGCTACAACATGATCGGTTAGGTACAACAATGCTTTAAGACAGTCCTTAGTAAAATATTGATTGAAAATTCAAAAAAAAAGTGCGTGCGTACAAAGTACACATGTCAGAAGTGAAACTTCTTTGGCAAACGAATTTTTAAGTCTTTTTAAGTTCATATTTATACAAATCTCAAACATTAGATTTCCGAGACTTAGAGGTAGGGAAAAAGGAAGATATATTAGGAATTTAATTGTCAGTAAATATTAAGTGTTGAAAATTAATACAAATTATAAATTTATTTCTTCGATACTGAAAACACGAGGCATTTTGATTTACAATTCGTCATTTGAGATTTCAATCAATTATTTTGCATATAATATAAAATACTCATATTTTATGAATTCTCTTTACGAAATTTTAATTTTAAAAATAGAATTTCTATAAGGTAATTCGCTCTTCTCTTCTCTCAATCAGTCTCTCCTTTTTCTTCGACAAAAACGCTGCACATCTTCGTGACGCTATTTTTATTGCGTTTCATCCGTTAAAATTTTACCCTCATGCGCCTAAAGAAGTTTCACTTCAAAAAGTAAAACAAATATTATAGGCCACGAGTAAGAGACAGGAATTATATTTTTTTTTATATATGAATGGTATATCCTCAATCATTTAATAAAAATACCGTCATAGGTTACAATCTTATTTTGATACATTTAAAATGTCACGTAGTATTTATATAATGTATAGTAGTTTTTTTTACTCCTGTACCTAGTTGGTTTTCTCTAATCCGCGTAATCTTAGTTTCATAGATTGCACTACATTGCAAATTATGAACATTTTCTTTTATAGAACACACCTTTTTTGTCCTTATATTTGGTCCTTTGTACCTACATTTAAAAGATGCTCTTACCTTTCTTCATACGGAATTTGCGGAGGAACAAAACAGCTGTGACGTCAGACTACGGAAATAAAAGTATACAATCTTTGTTTGCAGTACAGACAGAAAAAATTAATAGCACCTTTTGCTGAACTTTTAATATTGTTATAAAAAGGTTTAGACTTTATTTTTTTATTTTGTCTTGGTGTTACTGTAAGAATGTAATAAATCTAAAAGTTAGTTAATGTTTGTTTTTTATCCTGACAGTATGTTTTTTTTATAGTCTGTAGTAATAAATCTATTTTCAATTTATAATATGTTACATTTATGATTTAATTCAATGGAACATACTAACTGGGAAGGTGCATTAATATCAGTTGACGATTGTGGTTTGTAAAAAATATTCGAATAAATTTGCCTTAGGTTAGGCAGTTCAAATTCCTTCGCATTTTCCACGTAATTAAACCTCTACGTATGATACGAACAACATAGTACATGTGATCAAACAATATTTTGTAAAAATATAAGAGCACTATTTTTGTCCAGTTTTTGAGGTTATACACAGAAAATATTATGTTTGAAACATTGTTAATAATTCATAAGGCATATATTTTATTATTTGAAGTCACTCATAAAGCAATATCACGAGTACCTAATGATAATTCTAAAATAATTGTATATATTTTTAATATAAAAATTTAAATATATTGCGTTTTATTTACCTTGAAACCCCGCTGAGAACGCTGGAAATAAACAATGAAGGGTGGAATTATCAACACTCACCTGAAGTCAAAGAGAATATTCTTTATTTTAGTGTATTTTGACGTGTAAACATGTAAAAAAGCTTTCCTTCTCGACCTCAGGTACCTCGTCATCCAATTTTAGAACTAGAATACAATAGTTTTAGAGTTTGTCACAAAATATAGATGCACACACACGATTTACATTTTCCAGAGAGTAGTTCTCAGCTTATGTTTTGGCGGATTGGGAACCGGCAACGACAATGTTTATCCAAGTTTAGTTTATATTACAGGTCTCCTATTTTATATCAATCTTATGTTTATGTAATCATTTTCAATATATCCCGCGAGGGAAATAAATTAAAGCAAATTAATTTAAATATCCTTTATTTAGATTCTTATAAAGACACTAAAACATTAATATCTAACATTGTCTGAAATAAAAGTTAGTTTTTCTTTTACAAAAATAATTTCATATTTTGAACAGAGAGCGGTTATTCTTTTACATTAAATACCATTTTATTTTTAACGTCAGTTAGTACTTAATTGACTCTATGGCTAAAAATTCATAGACAAGTTGAAGCACGCAACTGTTAAACCCGTTTGAACATTTGAAAGATGGGATGATCGCTCACGCTTAATTTATCTGTGAATCTTAGGCTAAATGTTAAAATGTGGTTAGAATAATTACAGAAAGCCTCTTCACTATCTAGGACGATTAAATAACAAATCTATTTATATTTATTTACATTAAAATACATAAGGTACTATAGACACATTTCAATCATCATAATTAGACATACAAAGCGGCAGAATAGTTTTTTGTTACGAAAACAAAATTGTTGAATTTTATACTATAAATAGAAACAAAAAAGGTATTTTTCCTTTATTGTATACGTGTTTTCGACATGTTATTTTAAACCTTAGTTAATAAAAGATAAGATAATAAAATTGTTAAACTAAGTCTTTGGTTGGTAAGTATATTCCTTCTATAATAGGATTAAAAATTCACCTTTTACTAAATTTAAGGTAGACCTAATATCATGGTCATTGACACATTTTAATCTTAATATTACATTTAAGTTGCATCTACAGATAACATACAACCCGCGCAATCCGAAAAATTATTGAAGATCATTTTGAAAAATAGATCCAGAAATAGAAAATATTTAAATTGGACGGCGAAGCAATGCAGTGTTGTTTCAAAGCTATTACAAAATTTTACTATCTATAAGGGTGCAAGGTCTTAAAAAAAAACTACACGTAATAATTAAAATGGCATTGACCATTTTACTCTGTACAATAACTGTTATCTCTGGTTTCATAATATTAATTTGATTGTTTTTTTTTCATATTTTATGTAGTTTTAAGGGAGAGCAAAACTAGTCTATAAATATTTTGTACAATCTTAATTAAAATATTAATAAATATACTTCTACGTAATATCAATAATTTCGCGCCAAAGTCGTGTTGTACCGATCCACTTTATATCATAATTATTTATTAAATTAAATTACGTACTAACAACAATCGAGAAGAAATATTTCATTCATATCCTTTAGTGGAATTATAATTATTTAAAAATACTCCTAAACATAAAAATCTGATACAAAAGATTAATAGTAATTATAATTAACCGTTGCGTTGGTCAAAAAGTCTGAACCCCTCAGTATAACGTTTCTTATAAAATTCACGGAAAAAGTGCTAGTTTTTAGCGATGCGGGAATTCGATTTCACTGCATTGTCAAATATCAATTAGTTTGCACACGGTACTGTCGCCAACACGAACTTTTAGCAAAGCTCATACAAAAAGCATGATCTCTATCGACGAGTTGTTTTGTTACCTTTCTAAAATATACCCTAGCTGTTGTTTAACTTTTAACAATTTATTTTTATACAGATCCTAATCAACAACAATTTAAAGAGGGGGAATAAAGTGTATGCTATAGACGTTGGTTCCGATTTTTACCACGTGCCAAATCCCATAGACAAAAAGCATTAACCACAGGCGTGGTCGGGAATTAGTTTTTTTTTAAATAAATTTCATAAAATGGTTACTTGATAAAGCGCGAGTACTATCTTGAACATTTAATACGCCACATGGGCACAGATAATTTGACGAGCAAATTACTTGGCGGCGACAGTAAAGCTTTCAACTTTTGAAGACTTCACTGGAATTCATCATCAGAGCTGAGTAAGGTAGTTTTTTCGTGGTAATTAGTAGCTTGACTGATGGTGGCGACTCTCTGTGGCGGCGGACGAGGAGCTAATGCAGCGCCTTCTTCACTTCGTTTGCCCGTTCCTGTTCCGCGCATCACTACAATATTACAACTAGTTAAATTGGTAAGGATTAACATATGACTATTGGGTATTGACCCAAAAGCAGTACTAGTTCGTATGACTGACTTTTATGAGTGATTTTTGACTATTTTCTATGAAGAGCTGATATAGCTGTGTTTATTGCGACAAATTTATTCGAAGCACTGATCCTTTGGTTATCGAAGCCGGTCGTCAATACTAAAGGACAAACTGCGCATATTATTTTATAACAAAAACAGTGTCAAACATTTATTATGAAAATACTTTAAGAGTATATTACTCAAATCTTATTTGATCATTCTTATTTTTACACAGTTAATATCAATAAAAATGTTAACCACAGATATTAATTATACTAGTTGTTTAATGCAGAGACATAACAAGCTAAATTAATCAGACATAAGCATGCAGCAAACAATGAAAAAGCTAATAAAAATAATACTTACCGCGCAACGACGAAAATTTAAATAAAATAATTTTACAGATAGAATCGTTTATTAGGGAAATGTCAGAAACAAGTCATTACACTATTTGACAGACTTAACCTAATCTAAAATGTCAATTTCGTTACAAGCGTTTAGGTGAAAAAGCAGAATACAAAACTTAATATAATATTTATACAAGGCTAAATACAAAGCCAGAAAAAGCTGAATACAACACTTGACATGGGAAAGTCCACACGCAGGTCCTAAACTTGAATTTATAATTCACAAACGCACGTTGTCTATGACATATTTATGCAAAGATGTGTGTGAATCAAAACAAACCCACGTATGTTTTTTTGTCTTTGGCAAAATTAACTTTTTGATAAATGCCCAAGAAATTTTAACACCTGTAATTCGTCTTCGTCTAGCTTTACCTACGGGATTAAATCCTTTAACAAAAGATGAAACAATAATCACAGAAATAAAAAATATTACGCACTAACTATTATATGGGGTGGGTACCGAAGGAAGGCAAGACTTCATGCATGTATAATAATTTTTTTCTTAATCTGTGGTTTAATTGCATCAATGTTGCCATGCAAAATATTAAAAGGATGTTTTTTATTGCCCACCTACGGTCCTTAATCTAAGACAAGTACAAAAAAAAGGTACGAATTTTAATATGGAAATGATTAGTCCGAATCATTTATTATGAAAGCGTAATTTACATTAAATACATGCGGCCAATTTATATATTCGGACTACTCGATACCATTTTAATTCTAAAGCTAAATTAAATCTTATTTAAGTTTCTTATGACCGAGCACCGAAAAATAGAATTTCACTGAATTTTAAGGGTCTTTAATATTTATTCAGTTCACTTAATCTTTAATTGAGCAGTTAATGATTTTATGTAATTGCGATTAGTTTCCATGCTCGGCGGAAATTATGTTACTGGCAACACTGTTGCTGAAGCTAAAGATATTTTTTTTGTTTTTTTATTTTATTTTTCATTCAGTCACAAGTAACATAACAGGGTTAACGTACAAACAATAACTGTGTCTTTGATAGAGGCTTCAATTTAATAGAACTATAAACTAATATCTTTAGCATAGATAAAATAATGTTTATAATAAAGCAAAAAAAAATATATAAGTTGTGTTTTTATGAAAATATTTTCTGTTTTGTATTGTTAAGAATCTGATTTGTTATTGAAATCAGTTTGAAGTCTGTATCAAAGGCACTTTACAACGAGCAATGCACTCCATGCAGAGCTATGGCAGAGCTTAAAGTTTCTCATAAGGCAGGTGGGAAGTAACATCTGAAAGGAAATAAACCAAAACAAATGAAGACATTCTATTTTTTTACGGGTAATTATGTTTCTTCGTGTTTATGACGTTATGGTGACGCACTGTGTGTATTACCAAATTTTTTAAAATATATATATAGCCTTCGAAGATTAATTTAGTGACGGGGTTGAACTTATGAAGAATCAGCAGTTTTAGGCGAAACTAGTAGTTTTTTTAGATAAAAAGCTGTCTTAGCTTAGCTTTTCCTACAAATTTTCTTGTAGCAATTACGACTGGGATTAGTGATATTGAAACCCGGGCAAAATTCGATTTAAGAACCCTTAAAATGTAACAATCTAGAATCTAGCTTTTCCACTAACTCAGTTTTAACTAAAGCAACAGAACAAGTACTTTTGTTAAAAAATTAAAAACTGATTTAGTTTTTATTTAATTTCAAGCTAATAACAACAAAGTTAGCCAGTTTAAAAAAATTCTAGCTTTAACGACCGCACTAAACGATTTACAGCTAGATTTTGATGTTGGTAATGATACTATTAAACTTAGTTGTCAAAGTCTACAACAAACGTATGTTCGGATTTAAATATTAACTATAATAAATATAGCATTCAATATCGATCAACATTAAGACAAACTGGCAAATGAAAATAATAAGCGTACATAAAATAACTGTGTGAAAGAGACACATGTAGTTATGTATTTTCAACTTAAAACTCTTGTCTCTTACAGGACTCCATATGATAGAAACCGGTATCGTTCTCTTAAGTTGCTTTATGTTCGTAATGTATGACAGAGACAGGTATAGTTTCGTTAGTGCCTTTATCACAAAGTTGGTAATATGTGACAGAGACAGATATACATCAGCTGCGATATGTATATTCGGTCTCAGTCGCATGCTATCTCACTCACCCGAGCTATATTGCGTGTACTGTTGATATTGAGGGTGGAAGTTGTGGAATGCGTCCGTCATTATGTCCTTTGGATTCATTGTCTCCTGAAAATTTAATTTCGATATTAATAGTGTTACGAAGACGGGTCGACTGCAATGTTTTTAGATTTTTCCACTACTTAGAGAACTTTTCAGCAGGCTGAAATGTGATTTCTGACCGTTTCAGGGGAGGGTCAATCACATATTAGAAAATCGCAATTTACATAATGTTACCCTAGTTTTCAGGAGCCTGAAACCCGTTTATTTTTTCAGGCCGTTTCAGAACACGTGTAGTCGAATGGTACACTTTTCAGGAAATCCGTTTTCAGGCGTTTTCAGGCCTGGTTATACCCCTTTGACGAAGGAATGTTCTAGAACGAATTTACTAGGTGTGGGACAAGGACGGAACGATACGCGAGAGAGAGGGAAGATCGGAACCTTCTCGAAGCTAGACCGAGCACTCTAGAACGCCGTACGACAAGGACGGAGCAATGTGCGAAAGAGATAGCTAGTACGCACGTTCTAGAATTGTGCGATCGCTACTCAGTTGCACTGCCGCCTAGAGAGTTCTCGAACATCGCTCCCAGGGATATATAAGCGAGCCGAAACGCGACCGATTAGTTCAGTTTTGAATGCGATACCAAGCGATAAACACCGGAGTGACAAAGTGCGAATATAGTGAAGAAAAGTTAATACAAGTACTGTGTAAAGTGAGTGTTATTAGAGTAATTAGTGACAGTATTTTGTGTGTGTATTAAGTGAATTTTTGTGCGTAATATCCAGTTTTTAGTGTTAACAAATTCCTTGTAGATTTAATTGAAATAAACCCTTGAAGAGATCTACGGCGTTTCTATCCGATCCCCTAGCTCGTAACAATATTTTTAAACGCAAATTGTTCATTTCCTTAGTAAACCAATGATATCATAATTTGCAATTTTAAATTAAAAAATGTGTGCTTCTCTGGACGCCGGACAGAAGTGATAAGTTTTAATAGTCTAAGTTGAACTATATAATATTGAAATTGATTAACTTGAGAAAAGCTTAGGTTATTACTTAAATTTGATGTATATTAATATGATTAAGGGCTAATTTCACCAAACTCAGATAAGTTTTATTCCAAGGAATTAACCCTGGAATAGCAAATTTTACATTTCACCAACTACTTAACCTGAGAATAAAACGTTATTCCAAGGATAAGATTTATACGCCCAATTTTGAACGAATACGGAGATATTCCTTGGTTAAAAATGGCCGCCATGTCATGTCAGCTGTCAGGATTCATAGAACACAGACATTTTGTTTGATCCCGAGTTTGTTGTGGTTGTTCCCTCAGAGTTGTTCCTGTTTTCTTTCCTTGATCTAATTATCACAACTATAGATAATGCAACGTTTAAGAAGAATTATTTACGAAAGTGACAGTGATGATGATAGCGAAAACGAAAACTATGCTGTAAGGCGTCCAAGATGGATAAAAGAAAGAAATGATCATTTCAACAACTACGACGATGAAGACTTCAGGATAAGATTTCGGTTATCCAAGGTCGCAACATATAATTTATTGGTGAAAATTGAAAACCGTTTAGAATTCATATCTGAGGGGCAAGTTTCTGTAAAATAAACAAATATTTGATAGGTTCCTAACCTAACTATCTATTTTTAAGGTATTACTATGGATTTATCTGTGTTTATGTAGCTAATTAAGCCTTTTTTTTTTGTTTACAGGAATCAATCAGTTTCTCCAGTCAACCAGCTTTTAGCCACCTTAAGATTTTATGCCTCAAATAATACACAACTGACGATAGGTGATTTCAGTGGGCTCAGCGTACCCACAGCGCACAGGATAATACATAGAGTTAGTGCTGCCATAGCATCACTTCACCATGAATACTTACATAAAATTTCCAAACACGCAACAGGAGATTCGACAAAATCAACAGGAATTTTATCGTTTAGCACGATTTCCTAGAGTGATTGGAGCAATGGACTGCACACATATTCGTATTTCTTCACCCGGAGGCGAACAGGCAGAACTGTTTAGAAACCGTAAAGGTTACTTTTCTATTAATGTCCAGACCATATGCAATGCAAATTTGGAGATTATAGACATTGTTACAAGATGGCCTGGATCAGCACATGACAGCCTTATTTTCAACAATTGTTGCCGTAAAGCAAAATTTGAAGCTGGTGAATATGGTGAAGGAATTTTGCTTGTTGATGGTGGATATGCAGCCACATTCTATTCTATGCCTCCACTAGAAAATCCCAGAACACCAGTGGAGCAACTTTCCAGCACTATCTTTAGGGCTACGAGTGAAGTTAAACAAGGCCTTGGTTATAATTATGGCAACTGCTGTTCTACATAATATATTGCGTCAACGAGGAGAAGCAGTCCCGCCTGATGATCCAGAGTTGGAGCTTCCAGCACCTTGGGAGGTGCTCTTACAAAATGGGCAAATAAGATATGAAAATGAGGACTCAGGAACTCCTCGAGGAAATAGAGCTAGAGAGTTACTGATAAATAACTACTTTAGAAATCTTATGTAGTTTATTATTTTAAGATAAAACTAAACAATAAAGAAACAACTTTTTCATTTATATTTGTTTTATTAACTACAATTTTATTAAAGTTAAGTCTGTAATATAACAACAATATACTTAAATCTAATGAGATAACCTATTTTAGGTTGGTTTTCTATTTATTCTTCGATGTTTCATTTGTGCAAAAAGATTTCGTGTTTTGATTTTCTCCCGTTTTAATATTTAATTTTTATTTCAACTTCAAATATTTTTTTCCTTCCTCTCTCTCCTCAGCAGCAAAATTCATTTGCATTTGTACAGCTTTTATTTTAATTTTATGTAACTTTTCTAAAGTTGAAGAAACCGGTAAAGTAGGTCTGCGTCTGCTGCTCCAATTTTTCTTTTGAGTAAGAGGGGTATTTCCAGCATCCTCTACAGATATTAAAGCACAGTCATCAATATCCATATCCAAGGCAAGAGGCGTCGATTTAGCTGGCTGAACCACAGGCAGAAATGACTGTGCACGCAGAGGAGCAGATTTCTGAGATTGCAGCATCTTTGGGGTGTAGTCTCCCCAATCAGCAGCACAGTCACCTTGTGATTTATCATTATCGCAGGTAAAATTTGCAGCATCAATATCCAAGTCAAGAGGCGTTGACTTGGTCACAGTGGTGTTCGGCACAAATATGCCTGATACATCTGGAATTTTAACTGTAGCCAGTGTTTCATTTTCTTTTAATATAAAATTATCGCAATCATATGGATTTTCGAGTCCAACAGCAACTGTTGAAATAAGACCCAAGATCCGGGTAAATAACGGGTCGTCAGATTTAGGCTTTGCAGGTCCCCCACCTAAACAAAAAATCAAATATAGTTAAGAATGTCACAGTACCACCATAGGTTTATCATGAAGATGCTTTTAGCTGCGAAAATAAGCATGTAAAATGATAAAATGATTTTACCTGTTTGAATCATGTAATGCCTTGCAGCAGCAGATTCTTTTTTGGTGAATTTTTTTAAGCTTTCCCATTGTGCCTTTAAATTTTCCGCGGTTCTGTGGCTGAAACTGGTTTGCGAATTGAATTCATTGGATATTTTAATCCACTCAGCATTTTTTTCTTTCATGGTTACTGCGTCGGTACGCTTGTTTTCCACTATCTTAAAATGGTCAGTTATCAGATCTACCAGTAACATCTTCTCTGGCATTTGCCAGTTAGGACTTTTTTTTCTATCGGTCATTATCATAAACGATATTGTTTCTGTTATTTATTTTCTTCTTCCAAATCAAAACCAAAATAAACACTCAGGCAAAACAAAGCTTCTATGACCTGACCACAGATTACAAAGTAGGTTCCATGACAGCTTCAAACTGACGTATAATCCAACTAAAGTAAAAAGTTCCATTTAACCTTCATGTTCTTTAAAGAAATTGCACATTTAATTTGTTTTCATTATACACTCATTTGTTCGTTCACTCAATATACACTTTCACAGATAAGCAAAACGACTATTCCAAAGAATAGCTAATCTGAGACTAGTTTATCGGATGTTTTACATGGTGAAATGTAAAGTGAGTTATCTGGGATTAAATTCAAGCGAATATGTTTATCCTTGGTATAGCTATTCTCGGATAACTACGACATTGGTGAAATCAGCCCTTAGTAGGGGAAGGTTATTTATTAATAAAATCTTTTATTTTCTAATCATTTCAAAAACGGTGATAGCTTGAGATTATATGCTCACTGTCAACAGTAAATGTCTAACGCAAACTAAACACCGAGTAGAGAGAGGGGAAAGCGTCTGTCCTACGGTTCAGAGAGGAGGAGCCTGCCTACCGTTGCCGTATGCGTGAGAAGAAGGGAAGCTAGACAAACTAACGCCGTAACGCGTTACGTAACGAAGCGGTATACCCTCACATAAGAAGTTATCTCTTCAAAAAATGTTTTTATTTTATTTTTTATGTTGACAATTTGTAAAGACTTGCAAATCTTTATAAGGGGTTTGTTTTAATGTCCTTTTGAATAAGATTTATATTTTGGCAGGAACTTTGACTTGTTGACCAAGGCGTTACAATAACTTATATCTTAACTTCCAATAGAAATTCTGACCTTACAGACTATTGGTTCTAATCTTTACGTGTTTGATTTTACTATTTCCTTTATAGCTAAAATTTTTGGTATTTATTCGTTATTTTTAGTGACCTACACAATTTGGTGAAGCCACTCAACAACAAACAACGCAATGTTTTTAGGTTTTTTAAATAGTTCGTTTTTTCTTTTTGTTAAATAAATAAACTATAAATAGACACTATTACAATGTACCAAATAAACGAATAATATTTAAAATAAAATGTACCTTAAGGCTGCTAGAGATGGACTGCATAGTGACAGATCTGTGTGGGTCGCGTCGTGCGTGCGCGTAAACGCTCGCGGGGAACGCGTACCGCAATGCAACTCCGGCCGCCAACATCTCGATGCAAATGAGGAAGTTCTGATATCCAGCAGATACCGTACCAGCTGTTGTGGGGATGCCATTTTCGTCTATTATCGGTGATATCACTTCCGCTTTTTCGAGAATAGCGAGGGCCACACCTGAAAAAATTTGTAAAAAAAATTATAGACTGCATTTGTAATTTTTGTGCCGTAAATAAATAGATTTGTATAAAATAATTAAATTTTAAAATATTGTGAAGGACAATTATTAATCAAAAATATTAAAACTCACCTTGCCAGAAGGACAAGAAGATGACAGACTTAACCGTAAAGAACTTGAGCACTGGATCAAAAGGTTTCAGCATCTCTCGAGTGGCGCCGAGGAAGAGGAAAAGGCTGTACAGCGCCAGACTGACCGAGAAGTTGTAGATGATGGTTATGTAGATATAACCACCGCTTGGGGACCAATCACCATCGTGGTAGTGGCCAGCCGACTGAAAATAAAAATTAATTTATAATTCCAACGTAGATTTGCCAGATAATGGAGCGTTCAAGTATTACGTAACGAATTTGCGTGTGGGGGGGGTTCTTTTGTAAAACGTTACGATGCGGGGCGGGGATTGAATTACGCGTTATTGTTAATATTATTTTCGACTTTCCAGTTCTTTACACCACATTTAAGTAAGTAGTTTAGGTATAAAGAGTCACTAGGTGGTCACGAAACGGTTTACTATATAGAAAAACGTTACGTCACGTTACATGGGGGGGTCAATAATCTCCAAAAATTGCGTGACGTAATTATTGAACGCTCCCTAAGTTGTCAACGTGTTTTTTTATAGAACAGCGAGCAAACAGGCAGGAGGCTCATCTGATGTTAAGTAATACCTCCGCCCATGTACTCTCACCACTCACGGAAGCCTCGCGGGTGCTTTAAAAAATTGGTACGCTCTTATTTTACGGACGTAAGTCGTTCGTTCGGAAATACTTGGTGGTGCGCAGCAAAATCTGCTTTAAAAAACGCTCAACTGTGGGACTGACGTCGAGGTGATACGGGTGGAAATTCGTATTCTGCCTCGATGATGATGAAACTCTACTCGTTGGTAAGTCACGACTCTCACGCGTCTCTCCATAATAGACAAGGATATTTCAAAGACACGACCTTTAGCAATGAAGAGTAGAAGAACAGCAAGATATTTGACAGTTTATTAATTTTGTCTTATTTTTGTTCGCCGTGAAACGGAGCTATCCAATGTCACTTTTGTTGTGATTATAATTAAGGGATTTAAAAAAGAAATGGAATACCTTATAGAATCGATACACCAAAAGCTGTGCGAAAAGTTGGAAGATCAGACGAGAATTATAACAGAAAGTGTAACAAAGTCCGTCGTAAGCAGTATAAATGTGAAGTTAGCAGAATTAACTGAAGAAAACAAGAAACTTAAATCGGAGATCGTCGTTCTAAAAGACAAAGTAAAATTCCTTGAAGATGGGAAAAGGAAAAATAATTTAGTATTTTTTGGCATACATGAAAACCAACAAGAAGAACCTAACCTGCTTACACACATACTGAAGTTGATAAATAATTCAACTGGTTTATCCTTGGACCCTAAAGAGCTAAGCTCAGCTTATAGACTGGGCAAAAAGAGTGAAAATCCTCGCCCAGTCCTCGTTAACTTCACTAGCCTTTGGAGAAAATACGAGGTACTGAAAAATGGAAACAAACTCCCATCTAACATGTATGTAAAAGAAGATTTTTCCAAAGAAGTATTAGAAAAAAGAAAACTATTACAAACCGAACTAAAAGCTGAACGTGCTAAAGGGAAAACTTGCCACATTAAAAAAGATAAGCTCGTTATATACGAGAATACGCGTGAGAAATCTGAAAAAAGAAAGAGAAACTTCTCAGAATCTCCGAAACAATATCAACCCCAATCAACAAGTAAAAAAATAAACTTACTTGATTACTACGAAGCGCATGGCTCGAATTCAACGCCGAAACAGCAAAAAAACTAGTATGCGCCACTGACCGCTCGAACCAACATAATTCTTTCAAACACAACAACAAAAGACAAAACGCACTAACCACCCCAAGCCGGCTGGTCACCGTGGGGGCTGTCGACCACTCCCTTCCAGCTCAGAAACGAGATGAGAAGATTCACAAAAACATTACAAGTTCCATCACTCCAAGCCGAATCGAAAATAAGATACTTTATATCGCCACTCTGAACTGTCTATCATTGAGAACACACGAAAAACTTACCGAGCTAGAGTTAGCTCTTTTAAAGATAAACTGGGACATATTAGGATTAAGCGAAATAAGAACAATAGGCGAAAGCATTGAAGATCATAAAGAGTATATCTTCTATTATAAAGGCGAAATAAAAGGATCCCATGGAGTAGGCTTTATTGTTAAAAAATACTTACAGCCAAATATAGAAGAATTTAAGGGCATATCAGATAGAATAGCCATTCTTAATATAAATCTTCCAGGTTTCAAGAACAAATGGTCAATTATACAAATTTATGCACCTACTGAAAATCATGAAACACATATCAAAGATAAGTTTTACAACCAATTGACTACAGTTTTACAAAATACTTTCAAAAACATCATAGTTATGGGCGATTTCAATGGAAGAATAGGACGCAGACGTCCTGGTGAAGAGAACATCATAGGCGACTTCGGCTTCGGCCCAAGGAGCAAAAATGGAGAACGAATGCTCAATCTCGCTCTCGAAAATAATTTAGCATTCATGAACAGTTTCTTCAAAAAAGTTACGGCGAAGAAGTGGACATGGATATCACCCGACGGACGCCACAAAAATGAAATCGACTACATCGGAACCAATAATAGGAAACCCTTCCAGAACGTTAGTGTATTAAATCAACTCAACTTCAACACCAATCATCGATTAGTAAGAGCCACCATAAAATGTATCGAACCAAAGAAAAGTAGAAATAAATACAACACAAAAACAAAGCTAATGATAGTAAAACAAATCCCTGACAATGAAGTCAAAAACCAGATAGAAGGAAAATATATCAATGAAGTAAATGAAATACTTGGAACTCTAAGTCGCAATCCCCCAAAAACTAACAAGAAACAAATTGGAAAAGAAACTCAAAAGCTAATGGAAGAAAGAAAACAGCTCTTAAAACTTGGAAAAAACAAGCAAAATCTAAAATTGATATCAGAAGTAAGTAAGAAAATTAGTAACAATATTAAGAAAGAAAGAACCAAAAGAAGAATAGAAGAACTTAATTACCACATAACCAAGACAGGAGGAGTTAAAAAAGCTCTAAAAATACTCGTAGAAACAAAACAATGGATACCGAACATTAAGAACTACGTAGGCAAACAACAGACAAAAAGAAAAGATATATTGAAAACTGCAACAGACTTCTATAGAAACCTCTACTCACTAGAGACTGATAATACCTCACAGAATTCAGTAAATCTTGAACAAGACGAAGAAGAGGTACCTAAATTTCTCCTTTCAGAAACGGAGCATGCTATCAAAAGCCTAAAAAATGGAAAAGCGCCTGGACCAGATCACATAACTAATGAGATGATCAAAGTATCATCAGCAGCACCAGGGAACCTAAGAAAACTTACTGAACTATTCAACACCATACTAAAAACGGAATACATACCTTCTCAATGGACGAAGAACATAATTACACTGCTCCACAAAAAGGGTGACAGGAACACAATAGAAAACTATAGACCTATAAGCCTTATGTCCAACATGTATAAAGTTTTCTCCAAAATGATCCTGCGAAGAATAACGAAGGTAATGGATGAACAACAACCCATGGAACAAGCTGGATTCAGATCCGGATTCTCAACTGTAGATCATATACATGTTATAAAACAGCTAATACAAAAGTGCAAAGAATACGGAAAAGCACTATACATCGCTTTTGTAGACTACAGTAAAGCATTCGACTCTATAAAGCACGATTCCCTCTGGAGAGCCTTAATACAACAAGGTATACCAAAAAAATACATACGTATAATTAGAAATATATATACAAGTAGCACGGCTTATATCAAACTAGAGACAACGGGTGAAGAATTTCCTATAGCCAGGGGTGTGAGACAGGGCGATCCTTTGTCCCCAAAACTCTTCTCAGCCATTTTGGAGAGTTTATTTAGAAATTTGGAATGGGATAAGGTCGGCATAAACATAAACGGCAGACAACTGAACCACCTAAGATTCGCAGACGATTTAGTGATCATTTCAGATAACGCAAAGACGCTTCAAACTATGCTGCAACAGCTGACAGAAGCAAGCAAGATAGTTGGGCTTTCTATGAACAAATCTAAAACGAAAAAGTTGACAAATAGAGAAACTATTATGATACAAATAGGAGGAGATGCTATCGAATATGTAGACCACTACGTATATTTAGGGCAAATAATATCATTTCATGACCAAATGGATCTTGAGATAGAAAGAAGAGTGTCTAGCGCCTGGAAGAGATTTTGGTCACTCAAGGAAGTACTTAAAAGTAAAGACTTCCCAATAGTAGCTAAGAAAAAGGTGTTCAATCTATGTATCCTACCATGTGTTACATACGGCTGCGAGACTTGGGCTTTATCTCAGAAACATCTTCTAAAGTTGAGAACATGCCAAAGAGGAATAGAAAGAAGCATGGTGGGTGTAACACTGAGACATCGAAAAAGAGCAGAAGAGATCAGATCAACGACCAAAGTAGAAGACATTATAAAGAAAATAAGGCAGTTGAAATGGCGCTGGACTGGGCACATGACGAGAGATAGCAGGTTGAAATGGACAAAAATAATTACAGAATGGCAACCACGTGATGGAAAAAGGAAAAGAGGAAGACCGACCAAGAGATGGGCAGACGATATTAAGATAATAGGAGGCACAACTTGGACAAGAAGAGCTAATAACAGAAAAGAATGGAAACAGCTGGAAGAGGCCTACGTGTCACAGGACACGCTGATTACCAAAAACGGGTCATATGATGCATTAGATTAAGTTTTATTTTATTTATGTGTTAGAATTAAGTGTTTTTTTTATGTAACTTAAATAATTGTATGGGTGTCAGCAATAAAGGCTAATCATCATCATCAAAGGGATTTAAACACAATCACTAAAGTAACTGATAATATTTTTATGAATTATAAATATAGTTAGAATTATATTTAGGACATATAATATCATTCCATTGAATTATAAAAGTAGGTCAGTCTTTTGTGCACCTTAAAACGCTTGTGAAAACATTTTTAAACTGGCTTGTAAATTTAAACTCGATTTGAAAATTTCTGTAATCTGTTTGAAAAGTATTAATGATAACTTTTTTATTATTTGGTTATTTTAATTACAGTCAAAACCGTTTACGACGACATCGTTTAGAACAACATACCGGTTATTTTGACCAAAATCAAAGGTCCCGGCTGAATTCTATTGTATTAGGTACAAGCCGTCGGAAATATCTGCGAACCTCGCTGGAATGCGCTTCCCCTGGCGCTTCCCCGCACCCCGCCCCGTTTTCGCCTATCCAGTACCGTTGCCAACGCAATCGTCGACGCACGTGTATTATTCTTGCTTTCGTAATCGCGATTTTTTGGTGCAAAGACCTGAAATAGCAGCCTGGAGAGCAAAATATTTAAAAAAATATGTAAATAATAAGTATTTGTAAATTTCAAGTAGGTACGAGTATCAATAAAAATCAGTACACAAATAAAATATTTTTTATTTTTACATCTTCAATTTTTTTGCTATCTCTCCAGTTTGTATGACGTCATTAAGCCAGGTTCGCAGATATTTCCGACGACTTGTACTTAATAACAACGCCATCGGCTGTGACGACTATCGGTTTTTACGACCAAATATGAGTTTCGATGTCGTTTTATCAGAATATGACTGTATTTATATTATCACGCCTTTTTCCGGAAAGGGTAGGCAGAGACCCAGATTACACTTTCATGACATTCACCATGCATGCTCGTCGGTCATGGGTACTTTTAACTTGTTCTTTCTATAGTACCTCCCGGATTTGGTCCAGGTATATATACAAGGCATTCCCAACCCGAGTTCACCTTCCACGGTTGCCTTGTATATTCTACTATATATTAAAAAACTTTCGTATAATCCAGTGATGATTCATTGTCTACTAGGGAATTAATAATAAATTATTTTTCATTTCGATTTCAATTTCCTATAATTGTTCGTTATATTTATTTATTATCTTTATGTCGTGTCAGGCACAGAATAATGCCTTGCTTATGTATTATGTGCCTGACACAACAAGATGGCGCTTCCAATATTTTGAAATCTCGGGTGTAAGGTTTCTTTTGTGGCTTTTTAAATTAAAACAACCTATTGAATGCAAAACATAAATTTGTGAATCATTACCGCTATCTATTTTATTAACTGATAAGCATTATTGTTTGATCGTGTTTTCTAACAATAACACTGAATGTATGAAAAATATGTAGAATCCTTGTATGAAACTAGCCGTCTATCCTAGCTTCCGGAAACATGCATTTCTTTAAATTTATTAGAAATAAATGTATCCTTGACTAGTCAAGAGTAATGTATCGAGCGGGCCAGTAGTTTTTGAGTTGAATCGTTAAAAACATATGAGCTTTTATAATATTAGTATTAAAAAATCCATGGACCAGCTGAAGGTTCTTTCCCGACCAAGCCAAGGCTGTAGCGCCTCTAACGATTATGAGAAAAATCATAAGTAATCCCGTAATTTTGATAGTTAAATTCAATACCTAACTCGTGACAAGGACCCAGTTGATATACATAACATTTTTGAAATCGCAATTTTTTACTAATATTATACCGAAATATAATAATACTATCAATAAAAGTATTTAATTTCGGACGACGTAATGGGCTAATCTTTTGAAATGAAATTATAAATTTCGAGATAAAAAAGTCTAAAATTCAAATCTATATATTACATACTCAATATTTTCTCTTATCGTGAAAGATGGCTACAATAAAGATAAGTTAATTACAATTTCCTATCACAGAACACTCATCAAAGAATTCCTTTATATCAATATTCGATTTCGAAAATATTATTACATTATAGAATTGATTTCAAAATCGAAAATATTCGACTGTTGGATGTCGAAACAGATGTTAATTTTTCAACTAAGTGCAAATTTGTTTATACTTTGCTTGAAAGGACTTTCACAATTGTATGTTATAATATGTCCTGTGTATTAGAAGTGAAGATGAACGAACGAAAGAACATATAACCAATACATGTTTAAGGCAAGGTGATTAACCTTCAATTCTTCCCAAAAGTATTGGTTTTGGGCGGAAAACAAATCCTGGTTTATTGCAACTAAGTCACGGTTTATCACCTCGACGTCCGTCGTTCCACAACTGAGCTATTTCTAAAGCAGATTTTGCCGCGCACCACCACTATGTGGAACCAGCTGCCCACTGAAGTATTTCCGAACCAATTCGACTTAGGGTTACAAGAAAAAGAGCGTACCAATTCTTAAAAGGTCGGCAACGCAAGTGAGGCTCACTTGCGTTGCCTCGCAGTGTGAGTGTCCATGGGCGGCGGTATCACTTAACATCAGGTGAGCATCCTGCCCGTTTGCCTCCTATTACTTAAAAAGTTTAAATACCTGTAAGAATATAATAACGAAGGCGCAGACTGGCTTGATCAAACAGAACTGAAGTGTCGCCTGTTTGCAGAATCGCAGGAATCCGATGGTGTATGTGGCTCCGCTGAGGCAACAGGTACCGTTGACACATGACGCTCGTACGGGCCTCCCACGTAACTCGGACATAATGTTCCCCTCACCACCAAGGTACTCGTAGCATAGCGAGAGGAAGCTGTAGATCACGAACGCTGGAAAATTATTTTTTATTTTTTTGTTGGGGGGGTGTTTTTGGGTTTTTTTTTTTTTTTGTTTTTTTGGGGGGGGGGGGGGGGGGGGGGGGGGGGAAAACCTTTTTTTTTGGGTTAAAAAAAGGGGGGGGGGGGGGGGGGGGGAAAAAGGGGGGGGGGGGGGGGGGGGGGGGGGGGGGGGGGGGGGGGGGGGGAAGGGGGGCCCGTAAATATAGAAAAATTATATACCTAAACCTTCCTCATGAATCATTCCAGATATTACTGAAACTGCGATAAACTTCGTGCAGTACTTTTTTATTTGTCTTGTTTTTATATAATATATATAAGTAACACATATGCCGTCGTTGACTTTTTTGTCAACATATATCTTTATCGTTAAGGCAGCGTAAGAAAGGTTTTCGTTCAACCGTTTTTGCCTGACTGCATATCCGACTACCACAAAAAGCTTTTTTATGTGTTTATTATTATACGTAATTAACAGGCATATACATAACTCATACGTTTCTATAAATAAAAGATTTTTTAAAATAATATAAGAATATAAGAAGTAGATTCAGAGACTACCCCCTCGTAACCTCACAAACTTAACCTCTTGTTAGAGATTTTACAAGATTTGTATAACTCATGTTGTTAGATTTATTTGTATAACTTAAAAATAAATTAATTATTCAGTTGTTTTCAAGACTGAATATATAAAAATTTATGACACAATCTAATAGACGCCATATTATTATTGTACTCATCACAATATTGCGGAGCTATAATGGAGCCATCTGAGTACGTCATAATGTGGACAATGTGGGAGGCAGGAGACAGGCGATCTTAATTCTCCCCCTTCCTTTAGAATGTGTCTAAGAAATTGTATTGTTGGAGTACATTATTGGTAACCTAACACCTAACAAAGCCAAATGGGAAAGAATGGTAATATAATCCTAACAGCATCTGACCACGCTAAAAGTAATTCTTTTGGCATTTCGAGACACTAAGGAAAATTTAAGTATTCCTATGGCGAAATTTTATACTATTATTTATATAGGCGATTAATAAGAGCGTCAGAGAGTTCCTTGCCAGTACTTCTCATCCGTTCTACGGACTTGATTAGAGAACTGATAGTGAATGTAAACTAGGATTATAGTAAATTATAATTAATTGAAATAATGAATTCTCGGCGGCGGTGGACAAACGGACTAAGGTCGGGCAAGAAGAACTGGCAAGAAACTCTCCGCCACTCTTTTTAATCGCTAAGTTTTGAGTCATACAAATTGTTTGAATTGGAACAAATCAATCCCAAGGATTAGGTTCATTCAAATATTCGTCAAATTTATAAAAAGCTTTATTGATTAATTTACGTTTAACGAGAGCTTTGATGTTATTTAGTGATAATTCTCTAATTTCGCTTGGGAGTTTGTTGTAAAAACGAATAAAATTTCCATATAAGGAGCGGTTTATCTTCTGGAGCCTGATTGGTTGTACGTCGGTCGTACTTAATTTGCAATGGTACAAAATTAAATGGTATTTTTGGTCAACTGCTTGGCTCCATATCTTTAAGATAGATGTTATTAGTACATGGTATATAAACTTTTTTCTCTCTCTCTGTTTAATGTGTTTCGTTTTTGTATTGATTGTATTTATTTGTTGTAACTCATTGATTTGTACCCTTCGGGGACCGAGGCCTCTTAATGGTTTTAAGTGTTTTTGTATTCTAAGTTTATTTATAATGTTTAAGCAATAATAAAAATTAAAAAAAAAACAACGTGCCGGTATTGAAAAATTCGTTCCATATTCCTCGGCCGTTTGTTATGCATTGAATTAACACATACCCATTAGTTGATTACAGTATACACGATATCGCCATTTTGACCCATATGTAAGCTATGTACCGTTTCAAGGCGTGCCAAGTAAACAGTACATGGAATTATCTTTACTATGTATCTATTTACTTAGAAAATGCATTACATAACCTATATGCAACGAAGTGAAATCTAATACGAGCGTCTTCTTTTCATAGATTTATGAATTTAAAATATAAATATTGACTTGCATTAGCTCAAACTATATTACGAGATTCGCATTTATTTTTTCAACTAAAACCGCGAGCTATACAAAAACTCAAAAGTACTTTATTATAATGAACTCTTTAAGTAATTAAATTAAATTTTGAATACCAAACACGACGGAAATATTACAATTGTGGGAAAAAGTTTACTAAAATCTAAGGTTTCCTTATTTTTATGTATTAATTACTTTGTATTTAATTACAATATTTGTCTGTCTTAACTTGTGATGAGGAGAATAATGATGAAAAAATGTTGGCTATTTAAAAGTGTGAGAGAAAGAAAAAGAGTTTCATACCAGTCCTTCAGGTCCGTTCTACGCTCTTTGAGAACTGGCATTTAATATAAATTAAAACCATTAATTTTTTTATGACCTTTCCAAAAATTAAGTTACCTATAAGAATAAATGATATTTTGATTAGATTTAATGAGTCTATTCATAACTGGTTTACCTCAGAGCATCTCAGTGATTCAATGATAAATATAAGGTCATTACTCGCTCGATACTCTAGTGAAAGTACGCGTACTGCGTAGTAAACTTGTTTCAATATGAAAATTATTTAGCTGGTAAAAAAACTGGCACCTAAGGAAATTTTCGTTCTAATGTCGATTTCAGTAAATTAAATGAAATTTAATTGTACGTTATCTGTATACTTATAATCGTGTAAATTACCACGCGTGAAGTCTGGCAATTGTTTTTATAAATTTTTGATGAATTCTTTAAAATCGATGTACACTGCCGAACAGTAGGAAGTAGTCGGAAAAAAAACAAATTATTTATCCTTTTTCAATTAAATACACGTACAAATGTAAAAACTTAACGAGTGACCTCCTCTTGCCAAAATCTAAATTATATAGGTAGTTTTGAGCAGTGTTAGCATATTGGACATGCAAGGTCGAACCTTCAAACCCTGACGGAGCACAATTAGATTCTTTAATAGGTTAAACTAAATAACTAAAATATGAACAAACAGGCATTCAGACCCAAAAATCGTTGCCTTAAAAAGAAAGAAATAATAAGAACGTGTGTGTACTAATGTACACGCGTTTGAAGTTATACTTCTTTGGCGTAACAACATAAAAATCTTTTCAAAAATGTTATCTTTCGCCTTATTCTACGTTTGTAGAACAAACAACACTAACAACATATTTGACTATAGCTTCAGGGTGTCGGTTTTTTGTGACGCTGTACGCACGCATCCTAAAAATTTACTCTCACGCCAAAAGTATAACTTCAAAAAAAACAGAAATAAGACAAATCTAATTCGCTGTTAGGTTAAGTAACTTTAGCCACATTTAATCAAAATCGGTTGTTATTTTTATTGATAAGATTTACGTTCTTATCTTTATTCGTTCCTATTACGTGACGCTTAAACAATCAGTGTCTTGCTTGGTCGAATCAATTAATACAGAAATTATCGAACGAAGCATAACATAATTTCGTAATTACAGTGAAGTATTACCGTGATTATAAAGCACAAAAAATATTACATTCATCATAAATTGAGGAACACCTTTCCAAGCGAAACAGCTTCCGTTAGAAATGTTTACCTACAATCTTTCTTTTTACTTCTTTGTACATCGTCCAGCCCGTGACCGTCATTAATCCTGCATTAACGCTGTGATGCCAACTTGGGGGTATTCCCCCTTAATTTGAGGGGAGTCCAGAGGTCATGGGGGGATTTTAGGAGGTACATTTATTTAGGGGGATTTTTAGCTTTATACTTAAACTCATTCGTAACAAACGCACAATTCTATACTTATTACGATTTTTTCGAACCCTAGAACTTTAATCAAATATAAACTTCAAGCGTGGCTATAACTGAAATATTAAAAAGCTATAATATTCCAAGATCAAAATTGTATTTTACTTGAATATATGTTTGACGCATATTTAAAATTACCTATCAACCCGAGATTATAACAAAACCTTTAGGAGTAACCGATATTCAGGTTTGAAGTCGGTTCTAGGGGGAACAATTTGTAAGATTTGGCTTCACTGCATTAAAGCCAAAATGTCAATTAACTTGTTAGTTGTCATGTTGTGTCAAACAGCACAATATAAATTAACCACTGAAACAACCCTTTTAAACAAAACGAGTTCAAGATCCCACTTGGTATTTGTAAATGTATATTAACGCGTAACAGAGTTGAATAAAAACAGTTTATTTTTCTTTTGTTAAGGATATTTCAATATAATGTTTCATTTCTAGACTAGATCTTTTCAAATTCGCCATACAATGGATAAACTTTTATGTTATGTTGCGTACCTCTCATTCTAACTTTGATTTTTAAATTAGGCCATATATCACTTATAGGACAAAGCAGGACAATACAGGCACGGAATTTAAACTATGAATTAATCTATGTATAGGGGAAGCATCACGATTTATATTCAACTGAGGAGAATAACCACTAGTCCGTGGTATGACTTTCTTTGACAGCCCACATGAGGGAATTTCCCAACGGGAATTACTTATAAATTCTATAAATAAGTGTGCCTATCTTTCTAATATATCATTGCATTTTAATTTATATTGACAGAGTTTAAATCATGCCAACCCTGACACGGTACGCCCGTTAAAATGCGCAAAACGAAATATATATATGTATATATACTAGCTGACCCGGCAAACGTTGTTTTGCCGTGTATATTATTGTAGGAAACATTTTTTAGTTCAATATAAATAACTATCTACTATAATAAAAAATAGGGGTTGATCGTAGAGGGGTGAAAATTAGGGATTGTATGTATTTTTGTATGCTGTATCATAAAAAAATAAAAACTAAAAAAATTGTCTAAAGATTTTTTTTGAGATGGACAGTGGACACCCCTTACCACTTATGGGTTTGAAAAATATATACATAGTAGCCGATTCTCAGACTTACATATTTAGTAATCATAAAAAGCATAAAAATTTCATAAGAATCGGTCGAGCCGTTTCAGGGAGTATGGGAACGAACATTGTGACACGAGAATTTTATATATTACATATTTATATTATGTCTATATGCACTTACTGTCTAATGTCTATGTACGCATTCGCTTGTACGGTGAAGGAAAATCATCGTGAGAAAATCGGCATGCCAAAAAATTCGACGGAGTGTGTCAGACACAGAAGGCTTACCACGTACTTGTCTATAGGGAAATTAAATGATGAAGAACACGAGAACTCTGCGGCCCAGACCTATGGGTTGAAGCGCCATTGGTATAAAAAGAACTTAGAACTAAGCGGTATACGTTTTCCGTGAAAGGAGTTCAAAAACACTCGATATATACTATAAAATGGTTTTAAACCGCTAGCTATATGCAATATTGCCGTACCTACATTAATAACCGCGGTTGCGTAAAATGAGGTTATGTACATAGTAAACATTCAGCAAAAAGCACGTAGCGAATACGTATATTGAAGGATAGTCGTATCTTTATTAAAAAGCAAATAGATTTTTATAGATAACTTTGACGAAAATTCAGATAAGATTCCGTTCAACTATTTCATAATTTCACATGAATTAAACTGTAAATATTATCTTATTTTAGCGTTCTGCTGTCATGTTTGTATACAATTTCTTTTTGTTTCTGTGAAAGTGTTTTGACGTAAATTTAACCTTATATTGATTTGATTTTTTTCCGTTTTTATGTTTCCTAATAAATACATTGTAAACTCTTTATAACCTCATTCGTTGTAACGAAAACCCCTCTATAACTTAAAAATAGTTACATTTGTTTGCTTTAACACAAACCCCATTAATTAATTCACTCTTTATAACGCAACATCCATTCTCTACTACGAAGAAATATTTTCATATTTAGACATCAACAACATACTTAAGTGTAATTGTTTTTATAATCAGCTTACAAAACAAAGCTTTCGATGTGCCGAAATTTCTAAGACACCTGAGGTCATAAACAGCCGTCTCGCCTTTGTTATTGTTAATTGCATTAACACGTGTGCCATTGCCTGTAGGAAATTTTGGTCTCAGTTACTAAACGCACCACCGTCACCTATCGTGTATTATCAGTCAGAAACAAACTTTGAACCTGTCAAGATGGCCAGTAAAAGAAATGCGTTATGTGTTTAGAATAATTTACCTATTGATAGTAATAAAATAATAAATTATTGTAATTGGTTAAATTTGTTTTTTTTTTCTATTCACTCCCTCTTTCACTTCAAATCTCTATAACGAAAGAAAATGCTCGGTCCCTTGAAATTCGTTATAATGAGTTTACACTGTTGTACATACAAAAATCGCCACACATCAGGAAAGGATGGGCCAACAAAGCTCTCAGTATCACGAAAAGCAATAATCCGCTGTCTCGGCTATAGATTAAAAAACATAAACTACCGTGAAAAACAGCATTTCATAATGATAAAATTGAATTTCAATTTCTATCACTTTCTATATATGATATATTGTTGGAATCGGATAATAAGTATAATAATTTATTACCAAACACGTGTGCTCAATTTCGTAATATTTCTTAATACAAACTAAGTCATATCGAGGCGAATTTTCTGTATTTCTTAATGGGGCATGACTAATATTTGAAGGACAGAGAAAAGGTTTTTGAAGTCGGTTTAATTTATGTAATTGCTTTTATTTATTTGAGCCCTGACAATTAAAATTATATTTTATGTTGTGTGCATATTTTTATGTTACCTTATAGTCATCAATAGGCTATGGAAAGTTAGTTATTAATTGAAGTCATATAAATCCTAACACACATTGTTATTTAAATGACTATTATTTACAATTTATACAACCGCCCTAAATATATGAAGTCTACATTTACTAGATTATATTATTAAAATATTGTTTTAGTTTAAAGGCTGTTTGATATAGAAAATTTCTTCATATATAAGTAATTTATATTGGAAAATATTATTATAAGACATGTTTTTTTTAAATATAGAATAGTAATTGAATGTAAAACAAATAAACATACTATATATCGATAGCACATCAAATTTTTAAATGTAAAATTGTTTTACATACAAGATATCAAAGAAAAATACCTTACCTTACCGGTCAATAAATATAATTAATATAGGCATAGAAATTGTATCATTCTACACAATTCATAATAACGGGGCTTATGAGCACTCTCTTGACATAGTAATTATATATTTGAAAATTTAAATGTTTCATAGATTATTCTATAAAAGATCGAATGTCTCGTCATCGAATGAAACACCTTTTTATTAAATTAGAACAAGAGATTATACCAATCACTAGTGTGCATGTTTAACCAACACGATTGATTAAAATAACTCCATATAAATAGCGCCCCAGTTCACAAATTTTATTGCACATATTTCACTACGCTGCATTTACGTTTCTCGATATTCCTTGAGATTTCAATAGAGTAGGAACTCTTAACAAAAATAGTAGGGAGTACAGTCATCAAATGACATGGTCGGCTCGCATTCAAATGAATTATTTGTTTTTGTCTTTTATAAAGGATGTATTTTGTTTGGGTTCGATCCCAGCTGTGCACTACTACTACTATTACTACTACTACTACTACTGTACTTTCTGTTTATGTGCGCTCTCTCGCTTATACGGTTAAAGAAATCGTCGTGAGGAAACCCGCATGCCTAAGACCTAAAAAAGTCTACTACCTACTATCCTATTAGAAAAACAAAATAATCACGAAACAGATACAGAAGTCTGAGGCCTAGACCTAAAAGGTTGTAGCGTTCATTATTTATGTGATCAATTTGGCTTATTTGGAAATCATCGTGAGGAAACCCTGCCTAAGACCCAAAAAGTCGACAGCGTAACACAATAGGCTGAAACCCACTTGCCTATTAGATTTTTTTTTATCACGAAACAGATACAGAAGCCTGAGGCCCAGACCTAAAAAGGTTGTAGCGCCACTGGTGTCGCCAAGATTCGACCCCGCGTACACGACTAAAGCGACACACAAGGTCGTTGATACGAGTATCTATTGGCCTTTATAGTGATAGTAGAAAATAAATTACCTTCATAACAATCCCTGACCGTGAAGAAATAGACATAATACGAGTCGCCCATAAAGAATAGCAAGGAGATCCAGCTGTAGATGCCGTATATTGGTACAATGAACAGAATCCTCACAATCCATCGCTGCTCCGATGGGTTAGTGTACCAGCGCAGGTGTTGGTAAATCTGCAATGGAATTATAATCATTAATAACGTAGTATTTGTTCTTCATAACAATGCCGTTATCTTATCTCTTATAACGTAAATTACGTTTATATTGAATACTTAAAGCTTTGTGTAATAAAAAAAACTGTTTTTAATTATAACATAGAACGCTTCGCTGTCATCATAGGTATCACAAATCGCGCGCTGCAAGTGTTATTGATACATAAATTACATTACTAGAATTCCATTTCTTAGTACCTACTAACGATTATTCACATAAGAAAAGTTAGTCGTAGAGAAATGTTTAGTTGGTACATTAACCAATCAAATACACGTGGTTAGTACATTTTACACATACGAGACACATACAACCCTAGATTTTCATCTACCCTCTACAATCAACCCCTATTTTTTATTATTGTAGATAGTTATTTTTATTGAACTAAAAAAAATGTTTCCTCCAAATAATATACATGGCAAATCAAACGTTTGCCGGGACAGCTAGCCGTAACACCCTCAAAAAAATTAAATTGGAAATAGGCCGGCACACTGCCCGCGTTTGTGATGGCAGATGAGCCAAAAAGGCCCTTACTTGGTATGGTCTAGTGGGCAGAAATAGGAGAAAAGGACGACCACGGAAGATAAAATAAAATAGAAGGTGAGAGACACATGGAAGAATTTAGAGGAGGCCTTCCCTTTTTCGGAGGCCGTGTACTAGTATCACTACATAGTATAAAACAAAGTCGCTTTCTCTGTCCCTATGTATGCAAATCTTTAAAACTACGCAACGGATTTTGATGCGTTTTTTTTAATAAATAGAGTGAATGAAGAGGAAGGTTTATATGTATAGCATCTACTAAATAGTGGAGGATTCTAATGTGATGTCGTAAATAATTACATTTTTTCCGCTTACATTGCAAACGCAGGCTGAACCCTACGAGATTTATGAAAATAATGTACTAAGTATTGTACACATTGAAAAGGTCTACAGAAAACTCCGCGATGGTATATGTCTATCTATTATGGATATCTCACTAGATGATGATCGTGTCTTAAATGGCACCCAAGATATATAAATGTGTGAGAATATTAGATCCCGATTAAAGAACAATGTACGCAAAACAATGAAGGAAACAAGGTAGGCTATATTATAACGGTTACATAATTATCCCGTAAGATCCAAGAAAAAATCTATTCCGCGGGTGTTACTATCGCAGTATTTACACTCGCGAGCAAACAAATCGACTCAAGCGCTACCTCTGCATTCAAAGATTGTTTTAAGTGAAAGTATACAACATTTCAATAAAAATGATATTATGTCATTTGAAAGCTTACAACTTAAGCTTTTATGAGATGTCGTCAATATTAATATCCATGTATCCTTTTTTTATTATTGGTGTCTGAACTTAAATGGGTGAAAATGGGATTTTGGGTAAATGAGTTGTGTGTTCAAAATTGACAAACAAAACACGTTTTTTTTCTTAAAGAGTATAACATTTATTGGTTAACTATTTTGTATTGTCCCCCTAGCCCTAATTACAGCCCGTATTCGGTTATTCATCGACCTTATTAATTTTTTGACGGTGTCTTGAGGCATACCTTCCCACTCCTCTAACAAAGCTGCCTTCAATTCTTCAAAGCTCGAATGGGCTGGATTTCTTGCTCGTGCCCTTTGTTTGAGTTCATCCCATAAATACTCGACGGGAATTATATCTGGACTGAGCGCAGGCCCGTAAGATGCCGATTTCGCAGGGAGGTTGAGACAATGAAACAGTCGTCTCGTTCAGAAGTACAACAATGGCGGCTGGTTGTTGGTCTCCGAGTGAATGCTACAGATTATTGTCTATCGTCTCTATACTCAGGATACAGCAGACTGACACAAGTGAATCTGGGAAGCGACTACTCGCTGACTGAGTCCTTGTTGCAATAAGGCAAAAACTTGAGCGGCTTCTTGAGGTGTGGTATCCATGGTTTCTTGAAAACAATGAATGCAGGTTGCGGAGGTGTGTATCGGTCAACTGTTGATAAGCGACTGATAAGGGTTAAAGGGTAACGGGGGTTTTAGAGGGGTAGACGGTAGCGCAAGTGGCTGGTAGCGTAGTGAGTAATTTGTCCCATACGCCCTAATTGCGCAAATTAACATGTTGGTAGTGGTTTTATTTAATCGTGTTGATGATTTTTTTTAAACTTAGGTTTCAAGCTTTCGAATGACATATTATATTTATTTAAATGTTGTATACTTTTATTTGGAACAATCTTTGAATGCAGTGGTAGCGCTTGAGTCGATTTGTTTGCTCGCGAGTGTATGTACAATTACGCTTGGGACAATATCTTAAAGTATCCCTATTCAGTTAACGTTTCGATAGTATTGTCTTGCAGCAGCAACAATCAAATGAAATATTTATGTTTTTGAGTTCCAAAACACGCCTACTGAGGTCTTGTTTAGTTTAGTCTCTAATTTTAAGTATTGTATCATGCTAAGGGTCTCGCAGGAAAGGGAGCGTTCAAGTATTACGTCACGCAATTTTTGAAAATTCTTGACACCCCCCCAAAGTAATGTTTTTCAGTACCAAATAGTAAAACGTTTCTTCACCACCCAGTGACTCTTTATACTTAATAGTTACCATTATGTGGTGTAAAGTACTGGAAATTCGAAAATAATATTGACGCGTAATTCAATCCCAGCCCCGCATCGTAACGTTTTTCAAGTGGAAACCCCCCTCCCCCACCCCCAAAATTCGTTACATAATACTTGAACGCTCCCTTTTCCCTGGGCTGTTTTTAGTTAAAATTCTGGTTTGCCTGCCCTTAAGACAGCTATAACGTATTAGTCAATAGTTAAAATAGAACTGAGTCTGTAAAAAGGTCCAAGGATCAACTTAATTAGATTAGTCAAGTACAGAAAAGGACTGGAAAATATCAGGTTATTAGCTACGGTTCAGTGAACTAAGACACCCCTTACGCGTTCACTCAATAAGATGAACTCATACTATATACGTTTTAACATTGATATATTTTTATTAAGAACCAGCGAAGAACCACCCATTCCTCATAAATCACTACAGATATTGGTTATAATCGCAAATGATTCCATATCAAGCTCTAATAAAGGCAGCGTTTGTAAGAAACGTTAGGTATCGTTCGACCGTTCTTTCTCCGAGTTACTTGGCAAATCCGACTACCAGTCTTTTAATTTTTCGGTTTAATAAACTGACACTAACAAATAACGTGGCTTTCTATTGGTAAAAAAGTTTTCAGAATGTCTTGTGAAAATGCGAAACCCCCATAAAACCTTACAAACTTTACTTCTTTGTATAGACTACACTTTCACAACAATATTATATAGAGCAGTGTTGGCCTAGTGGCTTCAGCGTGTGACTCTCATCCCTGAGGTCGTAGGTTCGATCCGTGGCTGTGCACCAATGGACTTTCTTTCTATGTGAGCATTTAACATTCGCTCGAACGATGAAGATAACGTCGTGAGGAAACCGACAGTCTTAGACCCAAAAATTCGATGATCACATACTTGCCTATTAGATTGAAAAAGGCCCAGATCTAAAAGAGGTTATAGCGCCACTGATCTACTTTATTATTTTTCATATTATATTTTTTTTTTTTGTTACAGAAGGCAGACGGGCAGGAGGCTCACCTGATGTTAAGTGATACCCCCGCCTATATTTAACCAAAAGGGGTCTATACTGCTAAAACACGAAGTAATAGAAATAACAATAACTAACGTAGACTAAGTGTATAATAAAAAACTAACACCCATCTGATTTGTAATTTATATAGTATGGAATTAAAGTGGCTTTATTATTATTAATATAACACAACAATTAATTATCTTAATTACATAAGTATAAAAACCGGACCGCTTTTAGTGAGTTATGTCATTACTTTTTATTCGTAATTTTATTCATCGCCTGACGTATAGGTAACTTTCCATACTTGATTTTCTTTAATAGCAAATATGTAAGCCACTTTGCAACACTTCCCATGATTGCAAATTATAATTTTACGAGGCTGTAATCTATAGCCTTATCGATATAGCACTTGAAGTTAAATAATAACGACATTACCTAGTTTTAACATTGCTTTTAAACTCTTAGTACTTATATTTTTAAGATTAATCATTGCATTGTTTCAGCAAAAGCACTGTCCCTTTTCATCACAGCATAAACACAATTTGTCAGAAAGAGAGGAAAGAGTAATTTAGTAGGAGTTCAATTAGACTGATGAATATTCTAAATATTTTTATATAATCTCATTAGGTAATATTCTAATTATGAAATGAAATACAGACTTTTATTGGCATATTTTATTTACATACTTCTTTAAGAAAATTAAAAAATTAAATTAAAGCATTATTCTCCTAACAAAACAATGCTTTAAAATAATTTTTTTAATTATTAAAGTACAATGTGTCCCGACCAAGTAGGTTTCAATTCAATTTAAGTACATATAATTTGTGGTGAGCCCGCTGCGCGCGCAACGCGCTGGTTCCGGGCCAATAAACCAATAACAGACTTTTTCCATTTTGGCGCTATTTCGTACATACGAACTCGCCTGCGGCTCTTTTAAAAAAACTACACTCATGTTTTAATACCCTCTATTATATGACAGTTGCATAAACTACTATTAAATTATATTTTAAGTACAACCATAGTATTGATCAGTTAGTTAAAACAGAATTCTCAGAACACTTAAAGGTGTTTGTTACATAGGATAATATAATCGATTAATTCAGGTTTTATATTGTTACTATACTCTATACTATATATTTAAGGTTCATAGACAAGAACCAGTCTAGACTCTAGATTATCGCCCCTTTGAAGCGCTGTCTAGACCATTGACATATATATTCTAATATTGAAAGCAACAGGTAGTCTAGCAAATTATACACAATATGCTACTGTTATTGTTGTCGTGTTGGTTTGCATTGTTATAATTTTAAAGCTTTTTATACATTTTATAGTATATTTTTTAAAAATTTTGCTTCGACTGTGTGTTATGAAATGAAAATACCTACTTTAATTAAATTTCTGTAAAAGTTTCCGATTTTATGGTCCTTATTCTAATTTGCTCTCATGTCATAATCTCGTCTAGAGAGCTGTCAGATATGTCAAATTACATACAGAAAAACAGTTTGATAGCCCTTGAATTGACGTTTACAACACGTATTTGTAATTCTTGTTAGTACATAGCAGTTAAGCGTAACATATTACAAAGAAATAACTTATTCTATCATATTACGTTTTAACGTTTTATGTTTTTTGATAATTTACTCAAACTAGGTATTTCATTCAATATTTTAATATATAAAATTTGGTTTAATATATTCCATTTTCAATAGACGACCTTCATAATAAAGTTCCAGTTTTAAAGTAGCTCTGAACTTATGTGAGAACTCTTGAGGCCTTCGTTTTTTTATTTATATTAATTTCATGTCACATTATTCTGAAGATAATTCTATGAGAACATTTTTGAGGATATCCTTATTTTCGTATTTGCTTGACTTTACGTTTCAAAGTTCGGATTAATACTTTCAGCTGTGTTTCATCATCGGACGTCGAGGCAGAATACGAAATTCCACCCGTATCACCTCGAAGTCTACTACTAAGCCTAAGCGCTTTTTAAGGTAGATTTTGCCGCGCATCACCACTTTTTGGAACCAGCTACCTACTGAAGTATTTCAAAACCAATTCGACTTAGGGTCCTTCAAGATAAGAGCGAACCAATCTTAAATGTTCGTCAACGCACTCGTGAACCCTCTGGCATTGAGTGTCCATAGGCGTTTGCCCCCTTCTCTATAAAATAAAATACAAGGAAATTTGCCTCAAGATCTGTTCTTTTGTAGTTTGACATTTATGAAGGGTTTCAATACTTAATTGCGACCTGTAACGTATCAGACATATGTATATAGGTACTCTGTAACTCCCAATCCCACTCAATTCAATGTTGAGATTTACACCGTGAAAACTTAGATAGATGAAACAATTGCTTTGTTGAAAATTTACATAGATAATCTCTATATATATAACGTAATTATTAACTTGCGTAATTCTTAACATTTTTAGTTTTGAAACGCCAAGGATTTCTCTGGACGCATGGGTTTCACAATACGTCATTAATTTAGATGATGTCATTTACTTTTAAAATGATGATTCATATCGATAAACTAAAATAAATCAATTGAAGTTAATAGACTTTTACAATTTGTTTATCTATATTGATGATAATATATATAATAATTATTATAACAACGGCTCTCAATATATAGTAGTTTACGAAACAAACGTAGTAAGTAGTATGAATATGACGTGGTGAAAAGAATACGAAAGGGAATGCTTAGGTGGATTGTCCATGTGGAAATAGTAAAGATCCTGACGAGTACGATTTACAAGGCAACCGTGGATGGTGAGTTCGGGTCGGGTTTGCCTTGTCGTACAAATCCAGGAGGTACTAAATAAGGGAAAAGTTAAAGGTACCCATAACAAGCATGAATGAAGAATGTCATGAAAGTGGATGAAACGTCCCGTCGTCCATTTCATGGTCGGGGTTATTAAAGTTTTTTTAAACACATGTTTAAAACAGTTTGAATTTAAATCTTAATCAGTGGAAATGATATGCTATATTAGAAAGGCACTCTTATTTATGGAATTCAGGTTATTCCCAAAGTCACTCATGCAGGCTGTCAAAGAAAGTAATACCATGGACTAGTGGTTATTCTCCTCAGTTAAATATAAATATTGATGCTTCCCCTATTCATACTTCATAGGTAATTCCCCGCCGTTATAGACCCGCTGGGACTCGCAAGGTTCCCCCGCAAGTCCCTTATTAGTATGTCGCCCAATTTAAAAATCAACGGTAGTTAGAATGAGAGTTACGCAACATTTACTATGGCAAATTTGAAAAGATCACACATTCCTTTAGTTAGGAGGAAAAAAGGCATTTAAACTAATACTATAAAATTACTAAAATTGATAAGGACACGAATATGCGTACGGGATTATAAAGGTAATTTGTATTGCTGTATACGACTTGAGAGCCCCTCAAGATTGTACATATATACATGTATCCACGCGCGGTTACTCCTAACAGATAAATTAATCAATATAATCTGATTAAAGTAACGGTCAGCTAATAGCTGGAGGTCATACAAGTTTTGGTAGGAAAAAGACGCAAGGGTCTGAGTATAAAATATATTTTTCTTTACTTTACGTCTATATTAAAGGCAATTAATTTCAAGAAAGTATAGTAAATATAGGTGCAGTGGTAATATGAGAAGCTTGATATAAATGGAGCGTGACAAGTTACGAGACATAGGTGCGGTACATGCGCAAGGCACTACTACTATAATAATTAATATGAAATTCTTAACAAATATGAAAGTGACAAATGGATATATTCCCACAGGAAAAGAAGAATGCGAAGATGGTTGACTCACTGTTAAACTGATTAAACCTAGGCCTCTAAAACAATAGACAAATGAAATTGTGAACAACAATCACTACCTAAAATAAAAAACATGTATATTGTTTTATTACTTCTTAATAGTTTATAACAATTCTTTGTCACGATATGTTAGTATCAAAAAATCATTGCAAAAACAATAAACATTGTTGATAAAATATCTATAAACTGATCTACCATATACTTCTTTATTGTTTTAAATTAATACACGGCAATATTATTTTTGTTGATATATTTTTCCTTTTTTCCACCCTTTCTTGTAGAATCTTTTTATTTAAAAAGCACAATTCTCAAGGGAGGCAAATCCACCTAATTATTTAAGTTATCTGGTTACTATTTTAATTCTATAATTACCAATATATAAATTACGTGTCACGTTGTTTGTCCGCTATGGACTCCTAAACTACCGAACCGATATCAATCAAAGTTGCACACCGTGTGTAGTTTGATCTAACTTACAAGATAGAATAGCTTACATCTCAATTTATACTCGCAATTTTATTTTGTTGCAAATATTTGTTTATTATTAATTGATAGTCACAATTCTAACAGATGGAACTGTGTTGAAAGTACCAACATTTCACATAAGCTACAATTTAATGGCATAACCACCAAAAAAGCATGGCGGTCCCCATGACTGATGTTCTCCTACCGTTTCCCTTGAATAGTTTGCTACTATGTAATATAACAAAAACCTTAGCCACAGCCACACTTGGCCGGTCTGATAGTGTTATATAAATTATAATAAATAACAACTTAGCCTATGGCTGCATAAACATACAGATGAAATTTCACATCTACTAGGTAACTCACTAAGTATGTAGTTATTAAGTAAAAAAAGAATAATTATCATAGAACAAAGAAGAGGAATGATAAACATGGATGACATTTGAAATATTCAAAAACTTAGTATCAAATTGTTGTACCTTATATAAGCATAAAAACATGAATTAATTGATAACATTTTGATAAAGCTATTTAGTAATTCGTTAATGAGTCATTATTAGTAAAACAAGTTTTATAAAATTATAAATTATAACAATGCTTAATTACTGCTTAACAAGTTTTCATATCAATTAGAAATAACAAAACCTTAATAAATGAAAATAAATTTGTCTTTACAAAGAAAGATATTAAATTTTACTAAATGCACTCACTTGTTGGCATGTTATGAAGAGGGCTGCCCATACAAATATTCCAGAGACAACTTGTGCTGTGGTAGTTTGAAGAAAAATTGCCTTTGATATATTGTGTACTGGCTCAGACATAGGCTGAGCCGTGACATTGATGACTTCTTCAGCCATCCTGGAATAAAATAGATTAATTATTTCAATAGATTAATTATATAGTTATATAATGGAATAAAATGCTAACAAACAGAAGGTAACAGACAGTAATGTTAACTCTAGGGATACCTAAATAATATTTGAAATGCCTCTACATAAAAGTTAAATTATAGTTATTAGAAAGACATATTGTTTTTTTCTTGGAAAAATAGTAAGTAGTTTCCGTTAAAAGGTTTATGGCCTGTTGTTAACAGTTTGATAACCATTTTATAGAGGTTCAAATTAATAATGCTCTCTTGTCAATAATAAAAAAATATTATACATGATCATCTCATTTAATAGTATTGTGTACAAACAATGTATACTACATGTTAAATGAATACTAAAATAAATAAATTACACAACTTAATTCAAGCTCACACATTAAAAAATTATGCACTTATAAAATTTTGACTGAAGTTTAGGCAAAAGATGCCTTTGTATGTATCATGATTCCCAGAAATCATTCAATGGGTTATCATTATACAACATTACTATTATGCTTCACAAATCTCATACTTTTAATAGTTAACAAAACTTGTATAAAGAATGGTCAATTTGAGTATTTATTTCAATCTAGACAAGTAAATATTATGAGATGACTGTTTTAGTTCCTAAGGTTTCACCTGCAAGTGACCAATCAGTGAATGGGAAATTACATGACATCATAATTTCAGGAAAAATATGATTTTACCTTTTAAATAATTGTTGTTTCAACTGCACTATTAAAATAGTAGTATAGAGCAGATTAATTGAATTATAAAGCGTATCAATTCACCTACTTTATAATTAGGACAATTGAGATTTGTTATCGTAAATAATATGTCTAAGCATATTGTAATAGCCATAATATTACGGAAATCCTAATTTCGAGGTCATTCTTTTGACTTTTTCTTGTTTTATTGTATTACTTTTCTAGTGAAGGGCGAATTTTGCTTACGTTTAAGGTGAATGTTGGCCTTTTGTATCTTTAAAAATAAAATAATTATAATACCTTATTATATGTGTCTGTTGTATTCTCTTTTAATTCGTCGTACGTCAATCGTAATGAACACTAAACATATTGTACCAGCTGCTTCATAAAATATCTCATTGATTTTCTTCACAAATATGTCACAACAAAAACAATTTACACTTCACAAACGAGACATTGATTAAATTGCACTTCAGTCAACAACAATAACGAAAATGTTTGTAAAATAGTGTTTTCAAAGCACATATAATGACAAAAGAAGTAGTTTAATCAGGCATCAACTATTAATCCTTATTTCTCAATCTTCGTGACGGAAGTTGGAACTTGGAAAACCTCGTTCTTTATTAATAACAGGGTGGCCATTTACCAATTCTTAAAGATCCTAAGCCACAGAATAAATCTGTATATTTTAATACCTGCTGAGTGGTGATAACGAACTTTTAAATGTGAATAAATCATGTAAAATTAGTTTTTTTATATTTTTATGTAGTACATTTTTTAATCACATTTCAACGTTTGGTTTTGTTTATTCAATACGTTCATGACAGATTAATAATTGTTTCGCAGTCTATTTTTTTCACAGAGTATAAAAAAACATAGGTTGTAGAGTTATTAACATAAATAAATATTATCAAGTGTCACTATTCAGGTAGAATTTAGCACTATCGAATTGCAAATGTCACCTAGCCATAGACAATCAACAAACTCAAAAATGTCCGTCGTTGCAGATGATACGTTTTTATTTTAATTTTCAATGTGTATTGTGTAACTAATGTGGCGAGCAATGTGAAGTATTTTCTCTATAATATTTATAAATATATAATAGGAATATCAAATACCAAACCAAAATGATTGTTCAAGAGCCATTGCAGGTAAAATAGCAAAATTAATATTTTATTGACTTCTGTGTTCTGGCTTCGTAGAACGTTTCAAAAATTATTTTTATTCACAGGTTATTGTATGGGATTGCCTCAATAATTATGAATACGACAATGCTATATTCTTGGCAGAAAGATTACATGCTGAATGTAAGTAAACTTAAATCATGTTTAATATCAGATATTTTTAGTATTGATTTAAATTTAAAATTATTATATTTGCCTCATTCTCGCTTCAGAATGAATGTGACATGAAAATGTAATAGTACAAAGTATTTTAGAACACTCAATAAGAAATGTTTTACTTATTTCTAGTTAATTCAGAGGAGACTGCATTTTTACTTGGTACCTGTTACTATAGAGCTGGAAGAATAAACGAAACACATAATTTGCTTCAAAATATTTCATTATCACTTCCACAAGCTCGGTTCCTTTTAGCCAAATGTTCTGTAGATCTTAAATTGTAAGTATTCTACTTGATTTAAATTTATTAATTAATAAATTTCTTAAATACGTTTTCTTAATACAGTCTTGATTTCATTTTAGTTATAAAGATGCTGAAAATGCACTTGGGACAAATATGGATGTTGTTGTTTCGGAATTTGGAGAACAAGCACCATATGCATTACAACTTCTTGCAAAAATCTACACTATCACAGAAAGGAAAACTAAGGCTGCAGAGGCCTATCGAAAAGCTCTATCTTTGAACCCATTTATGTGGAAATCCTTTTCTCAGCTATGTAATATGGGTGAAAAAGTTGAACCAAGCCAAGTATTCCATTCAAGCTCCGAATTCTCATTTGGTATTTCAACACTTGTGAATCTAGTCAATAATTCAGAAAATATTTCAATTTCTTCACCATTCATTCCTAACAACAATAGTATTAATAATACTGTTACACCTAATAATATGGTGACTCGAACATCTATGCCCATGTCTACTAGTATAACTCCAGATTCACAGGTCTCTGTTAAAAGAATGCACAGTGTTTTCAGTGGAATTGCACCCATTCCGTTTTCACCATCATTTGGTATGCTTCCTATGGATGAATCTCCAGCTATGTATACACCTACACTTACAGATTCTAATGAACAGAAAGCTATTCCAAAAATTGTCAATTCATTGAGGGCTCATGTTGGACAGTTGAAAGATGCTGTCTTCAGTCCCAGTGGTCCAAGGTGTACTTTAGGACCTGCGCCTCGGAGGTCATCAAGGCTATTTTGCACAAATAACAGCAGTTACTCTGTAAAAGAAAATAATAAGTCACCTAGCCGTAAATTTGTTGCACCAAAAAGTCCTTCTAGAAAAAATAAACAGCGTTCAGTCAAGAATGTTAAATCAAATACAGAAACCAATGAACGAATTAAGAATGTTGAAGCAACCACTCCAACAATGACACCAAAGAATTCTAATGTGGTGGGACTGCTTAACTTGTTAAAAGATCTGGGTGAGGCTTACAAATCATTGGCGTTTCTGGATTGTAAAATTGCTATAAAACAATTTAAAAATATATCAGCAAAACAAATTACGTCTCCGTGGGTGCAAACAATGATTGCCAGAGCTCATTATGAGTTAGCTCAGTATGAACCTGCTGTTAAAGTTTTTTCTGAAATAAGAAAGCAATATCCTTGTCGAACAGAGGGCATGGATATATACAGTACCTGCTTATGGCATTTACAAAGAGAGGCTCAATTATCTGCATTAGCTCAGGAACTAGTCGAGTTAGATAGAAATAATGCAATTTCTTGGTTGGCTGCTGGTAATTGCTTCTCATTACATAAAGAGAGGGAAACTGCTCTTAAATTTTTCAAAAGAGCTGTGCAAATAAATCCTGATGCTTCATATGCTCATGCCCTTTTAGGCCATGAATACTCTGTTGCGGAAGAAACAGACAAGGCATTATCAAGTTTCAGAACAGCTGTGAGTATTGACCCACGTAACTATGTTGCATGGTATGGCATTGCTACAGTTTATGCAAAGCAAGAGAGATGGAAGTCATCTGAAATGCAAATTCGTCGAGCGTTAAGTATTCATCCCTATTCAGGTGTATTGCGTTGTCAGTTGGGGCTAGCTCAAGCTGCGTTAGGAAAAATGGATAGAGCCCTTGCTACCCTCGAAAGGGCTGTTGCTTTTGACACAGACAATCCACTGTGTAGATTTCATAGAGCTTCTGTGTTATTAAGGGCAGGAAGACCACAAGATGCCCTACCTGATCTTCATCACTTAAAAGACATGGTGCCTAAAGAGTCTTCAGTATATTACCTCCTTGGGAAAGTTCATGATAAATTGGGTAACTCACATTTAGCTTTAATGCACTTCTGTTGGGCTACAAATTTAGACCCTAAAGGCATGAGTGGACACGTCAAAGAATCATTTGACCCATCAAAACCAGAAGAAAGTTCAGAAAGACCATAAGATACTGTATCATAAATATATAAAACTTGAGTGTTCAAAAAAATAATCTTTCAAGATCCTTCACTAAACCATATATAAAAGAAAAGGAAGAGATTTTTAAACTAATATTTGCCTTCATTTTTATCTTGACACTGGTTTGGTGTAGAATGCTCATGCTAATCAGTATATTGAAGTTATATACCTATTCAATTTTGACTGAATGTTGTACATAGAGATGTCACTTATCAATCTCCAGTCACCAAAAACCATAATAATTTAATGGGATTGGTTTGTGCATAGCAGTAGTATATTTGTTTATATAGATTAAGATGTGGATATTTCTTTGTTTATCATAGTTAACTGTATAGCAAATAAAACAATAATTACTGGAATGATTGTGCTTATAACACACAGGGCTTTGATCTCAATGTGGTGTTTTAAATTTAAATGTATTAAACAAACCTTTTAGCATTATGACTACTCATTTTGTTAAAATCATGCAATTGTGAAAGTAAACCAATTGACAATAACCGCAGGCGGTTTTAGAAATCAATTCAAATCAAAGATATTTTCAAAAAAATACTGTTCTGCTTTTAGATTCAATACCTATATGATATTTGTAAATATTAAGTAGATTTGTGTCAATGGATGTATGAATATAATTAGCACTATCGTTTAAACTCTCAATTCAATTGCAAAATGTGATTAATGTCTAGACATCAATATAAACCTATAAAATCATATTAAAAGTACGAGTGTTTTATTCTTAAGTACATATAATAAACAATTATAAAGATTCTTACTTTTTATATCTTAATTTTAATATACATTTAAAAATGTGAAGTATTTCAGATTAATACATATAAGTGTAAACAGTAATTCTCAATTCTATGGCGATGCGATAACACTTGCGTTTTATTTTGATTTACCAATTGTATATAATTCACCAAATAAGCCACCCCAAGCCGGCTGGTCACCGTGGGGCTCAGCGACTACTACCCTCCTAATTCACAATTCTTAACAAATACAATCAATTCCAACAGATCTCACCCACCACATCACATCTCTCCCGCAACAGAAAATTCCCATATATTTATTTGTACTTTTAACGCGAGATCACTATCATCAGACGAAAAACTCCTAGAATTTAAAGAAAGTATTGCTTCAATAAGGTATGACATTATTGGCTTATCAGAAATAAGAAGAGAAGGATATAACATTGAAGAGGATAGTGAACATATATTTTGTTACTTCGGTGAAAGAAAGGGACACTTAGGCGTAGGGTTTCTCTTAAAGAAAAGACTCAAGCAATACATTGAGAGTTTTATTGGTGTATCAGAACGAATCTGCATTTTAAATTTAAGAATAATAAATTTAGATATGTCTATTATCCAAGTCCATGCACCCACTTCCGAAGCAAGCGACAATGAGATAGAGAAATTCTATGAACAAGTACGTAATGCTATGAAGCACTGCAACAAGCAGTTTATATTAGCAGGTGACTTTAATGCTAGAATAGGAAGAAGGTTGCCTGGTGAAGAAAGAGTAATGGGTGCAAATTGCTTTGGTAAACGGGAACAAAGAGATCTGCTCCTGCAATATTGCCGTGAAAACGACTTAAAGATAATAAATACCCAATTTACAAAGAAGCTAAAAAAACCTATGGACCTGGCTTTCCCCCAAAAAGCGAAGAAGTCAAATTGACTATAATATATACTGCTCAAAACAATTAGCGAAACAAGATGTTTCTCCTTTCTATTGCTTAAACTAAAATTAGATTTAAATTAACTTATACGCTATTTTTTACCTTGTTAATTACTACAATTAATAAAAAAATTCAATTTGTATTTTTTTTATTTAAAAAAAATTAACAAATTACAATGCACATTGTAGACGAAAAACAAAGTGACGTCTTTGAATTTTCATTACTTTCTAATCACAGAAAACACATTTTAAGCAGTTTTTTTCAATCTTTTGAGTATTAATAGAAATTGAAGTGAGCCTTTTGAGTATTGTTATTCATTGAAGCGAGTGAGTTTAGGTCATAATGCCAGATCTGACTGAATTGCATGTCTCCCGAGCTATCGCTTTGCTTGAAGAGGGTCGAACTATGCGTTATGTAGGAAATGATCTAGGAGTAGCCCCTCCTGTTATCTACAGACTTTGGAAGCGATACCGTGAGACGGGAGAATACTCACGAAGGCGTGGTCAAGGTCGAAAGAGAAAAACTACACGTTTGCAAGATCGCTATATCGTCAACTGTGCTTTACGTAACCGCACCACAACTGCAAGAGATCTACAAAATACACTAAGGACGGCTACTGGTGTAGAAATTTCCGACCAGACGGTAAGAAATAGGTTGTTGGAAGCCAATTTGAGATCACGCCGACCAGTTCGGGCTGTGCGTCTAACAATTCAACATAGACAAGCTCGCCGACAGTTCGCGCAAAATCACGCTAATTGGTAACTTCGACATTGGAGGCCAGTGCTTTTTACTGACGAATCACGATTCCGTCTAACACGGTGCGATGGTCGTCTCCGTGTTTACAGACGCCCAGGCGAGCGATACAGTGCAGCAGCAGTCCAGGAATATGACAAATTTGGATGTGGCTCTGTGATGGTTTGGGGCGGAGTTAGTTTGGACGAGCGCACAGATCTCGTCGTTGTTCCCGGGCGCTTGTGTGCTCAAACTTACATTGAAAATATGCTCGAAGATCATGTTTGGCCCACAGCATATGGTATGGGCCCAGATTTTCTTTTAATGCAAGATAATACCAGGCCGCATACTGCAGCCATCACGTCAGATTACTTACGACAGCAGGAAATCCGTGTAATGGAGTGGCCTTCCATGAGCCCTGACCTAAATCCAATTGAACACATTTGGGACTTGCTTCACAGGCGCATCCGGAAGCGTCCGATTGCACCTCAAACACTGCAGCAGCTCACTGAAGCGTTGATTGAAGAATGGGAGCGAATTCCACAAGAAGATATTCGGAGGATCATACGAAGCATGCCGCGTCGTTGTCAAGCCGTGATTAGGGCTCATGGAGGCCACACACGTTACTGAAAGTCACTAAAGACGAATATTCAAACGATATAAGAATATTTGTTTAGTTTTTCGTCTACAATGCACATTTTAATTTTTTTTTAATAAAAAAAATACAAATTGAATTTTTTTATTAATTGTAGTAATTAACAAATTAACAAGGTAAAAAATAGCGTACAAGTTAATTTAAATCTAATTTTAGTTTAAGCAATAGAAAGGAGAAAAATCTTGTTCCGCTAATTGTTTTGAGCAGTATATTAACAAATGACATGCGACATACAAAACATTGAAGTGGTGCACAATATATCTTTTGCCAGCGATCACAGTCTTGTAAGATGCACATATATAGTAAATGACCTAAAAAAGAGTCGGGTAAAATATAAAAATAGTGCATACTCTTATCTTAAGTCCCCAGAAGAGGAAGAGTCATATTTAAAAACTTTAGAAACCAAAATAAAAGACATTAAAGATATTGATGAAGGCAACGTAAACAAATATTATGACCAAATTAAGACGTCACTTACGGGAAGCATAAGAGCCGTTACATTAAAAACTAAAAATAGATATAATCGAAAAGGTTATACTATCTCAAATCACATAAAGGATCTGATATCCAGAAGAAACGAGTTGACACGTAAAACACATTTAAGCAGCGTAGAAAAGAAGGAACGAACATATCTGTATAAAAATATACATAAAATGATTAAACAAGACAATAAAAAACATAGATTACAAGTACATACTAGAGAAATTTCTAACAGAATCAAGGAGTATAAAAAAAGGTTTTAGAGCACTTAACAGAACCAAACAATGGATACCTCGAATAAAAACCAGTTCATCATCGACAACATACTCTAGATCCAAAATAATTGAGGTAGCTACTAAATTCTACAAGGAGTTATATGGCCCTAATAATAATATAATTAATAATACAGAAAATTTCGAAATCCATCACAACAACTTATCGACTGAAAGATTTTCAACTTATAAAGTTATCAAAGCTATGGAACAATTGAAGAAAGACAAAAGCTGTAGACCAGATGGCATAACAAATGAAGCTATAAAAGTTGGAAGATTTTTGTTAGCAACAAGGCGTTTTAATATGGTTATGGATTCACGAAAAATACCCAGAGAATGGGCACGGTCTGACATAATTTTAGTATATAAAAAAGGGGACCCGACTGATGTGGGCAGCTACCGCCCGATTAGCTTGCAACCAAGTATGTACAAATTGTTCGCTTCCTGTCTAGAACGACGCTTGTCAAAATATACCGTAGAATATCAACCAGTAGAACAAGCTGGTTTTAGAAGAGGCTTCTCAACTATAGATCATATTCATACCTTAGACATGATTATAGAAAAATATATCGACCAAAACTGCCCCCTATACCTAGGTTTCGTTGATTACGCCAAAGCTTTTGACACCATATCTCACAAAATCATGTGGCAAGCTCTTGGTGAATGTAATGTTCCTTATGAAATAATAGAACTCATACAAAATATATACCAGCAAAGCGTAAGCCGCGTGAAGTTAGACAGAATTGGCCCAGAAATAAAAATATGCAGAGGCGTAAGACAAGGCGATCCTTTGTCACCTAGAATATTTATAACGGTTCTACAAAGCGTAATGAAAACCCTTCAATGGGAGAAAAAAGGGATAGAAATAAATGGTCAGTATCTAAGCAACTTGAGATTCGCCGACGATATAGTCTATCTACTAAAACATTGCCGCCGCCCCTCCAAGAAATGTTTAACGAATTAGTCTGCGCAAGTAAAAGCATTGGCCTAGAAATGAATACCTCCAAAACTAAAGTTATGACTAACAGCAAAGAACGACCAATTTTTGTCAACGCCACGTCTCTTGAATATGTCCAAAACTACATATACCTAGGAAAACAAATATCGTTTAGTCAAAACAGACATGTGGAAGAAACAAACAGACGTGTAAACCTAGCATGGAACAAATATTGGGCTTTAAAAGAAGTACTGAAATCCAACCGTAACTTAACTATAAAAAGAACAGTCATGGACACATGCATACTTCCATGTTTGTCATACGGATGCCAAACCTGGATTTTTAACAAGGCGTTAATAAAAAAGATTGGAGTATGCCAAAGGGCTATGGAGCGCTCCATTCTTCAATTGAAGCTTAAAGTCAAAATAAAAAACAAGGTGATACGAAGTCGTACAAAAATAAAAGATGTTGTAACTTATACAAAAAGGCTAAAATGGAAATGGGCCGGTCACATTGGCCGCATTTGTGATGGCAGATGGGTCAAAAAGACCCTTACTTGGAAGGGCCCAGTGGGAAGAAGAAAGAGAGGATGCCCACCGAAAACTTGGGAAAACGATATAAAAGGGATAGCGGGAAAAAACTGGAAAATTGTCGCATCAAATAGGGATAAGTGGAAGAATCTGAAGGAGGCCTCCTCCAGATTCTTTCACTCCATCGGAGGTCGAGTACAAGTGTAAAACTTAAAAGACATGGACTTACTGTAGTTATAGTGTACTCGAATAAAGGCTATTTTTTATATTTTTTTATTTTATATAATTATCAAAATCAATATTGGTACCTACAAAAAAAAAAATATCGAAGGATGAAAGTGCAGTGCAAAAAGCAAAAAATACGATTCAATAGACAACCTTTAACTTGATTATTCACTAAATATAGAATACATTATCAAATTGTTCGTGTTGTAATAACGTCTGTTAAGCTGTACAAGTGTACAGCGTTGCGTCAGTTGTGGTCTCGCTTGCACACTAGTGCTGTCTCAGTCACGCGCGAACTAAGAGTATAGACTAGTCGGCTAATGTACGAGTAACTAATTACGCCGCTGCTATTAAACTGTCAAAATATAGGATCAACATTTTTTCTAACGTGTCTGTTGTTTGACTAAGATTGAATACATGCAAGTTCAGTTTAAAAAAAAACAATTGTTTATTTACATTTTATTAATTCATTCACACCATCACAATATATTTGTTGGGGCCCGAAAGTCGAATTGATTATTTAAATAAATGGCTGACTAAACTCAAATGTATATAATACACGTCGATTTAACCTTCGGTTTTTTAAGTCTGTTAAAAAGAAGGCTCTGATTGTCTACTGCCATTCTTTATAATTTATCTGTTAGCTTAATATATGGACATTCTATGAAATAGCAGGTGGCACAGTGATCAATTTTATTTTGGGCCATAACAAACTAAATTATATTTATTATTCACATTTTAAACAAATTTGTGCAAAATACTATCTAGGGCCTTTCTTACGGTTGGGTCATTGAATAGTTGGGCTTTGTCAGGTTTTGGTGGTGCGATTTTAGGGGGCTGCACTTCCTTCTTATCATTAAGAATGCTGAGAATTCTCTGTTGCAAGTCCACTTGTGTCTTATTAGTTGGTGCAGCCGGTGCTAGGGGCTCACCTAACTCTATTTTTACTTGCTGTCCTCGCTTTTCCTAAAAACAAAAATTCTTATAAAATTTAACGACCTAAGTGGTCGTAGTGTAAGTGGAAGTAGGTAAAAAGATTATTATGACTTATAAATAGACAAATATACATAAGGTTATTTTCTATTGACTATTTTTATAATAGGGTCGGGTCTTTCGGTCGACTAGAACGGTAGTTTTTTTTAAATAAGCCATAGCTACATCTATTTTAAGAGTCTGCTTAACCTCTAACACTGATCTCGTTCAATATTGAGGGTAGACAAAAATTTTTAAATGAAGGTAGGCAATAAAATTGTATACCTGTAAATATTCAAGAACTTTATCATACTGCATCACAGTTAAGTTTCTTCCATCAGCCAATTGTCCAAGTAAAGCATACACAGCTTCTCTTCCTGAGGGACCTCCTCGCTGTACCTCTTGGTAGTTCCTTGATATTAATTGTAACGCATCTTCTAGGGGCATGTTTCTGTGCTCTACAAATGTTTAATGATCCATAGAAAATAAATTAGCACTTACTTTATTTTGAATAAAATTAAACTAGGAAAAAGTATATTTATTTTCCCTATCACAATTTTACATACTACAGGTATTGGCTATTGTGAGAGGCTGAGGCCAATAATATTAAACTGATGAATTAAAAAAAAATGAGTTAGAAATACAAATTTTAACATGAACATAAACTTTTTCCGTTCTTAAAGATGTGATAAAAAATAATTTAACACTCGGCAAGCGCAGTCAAGTTGATAGTGAGATATAGATCTTTCTGCTGCAATAATTCCACGATTTATGCGTTTATTAATTACGGCGAAGAAACAGTTTTAAATTTATAAAAACAGAAGGTCAAAATTACCTAAAAATTTGATAATTTTGCTGGTGGTGAAGCAGACAGTAACAACATAGTTGAGGGCATTTTTTGTTTCAATGTGTGCTTAAATCAAATTTTATGGTAAAATTAAAATATTCATACCTTGAGGCAATCCATGTAAAATAGTAAGTGTCATTGACCTATGTTCTTGATTCTGTGGCATCACAAGTATTGCATAAAGGCAGCCTCGGGAGGCAATATTTCCCAATACTTTGCCAATTGGCACATCTTCCATTGGAAACAAAAGGTCAACGACTATTCCAAGCCTTTTTAATCTACCCTCAATGTATTCGGCATATTCACTGTAAGAGTATGCAAGTTTTAGGTCCCGGCTCGTAAGCAAAATAGGCACAGTATGAAGAATTGAGTGTTATTGAGAGTACTCTGTTTAAACCGTGACTTTAAAGGCGTTAACTTATCGAAAAAAATAAAAATATTGCTTTCAAACGTCAGGCAACAAAACGACACGTGAAACGAAACCGTAACAGATTAGTCGAATTAATGATGACGTGCATATATATAAGCCTAATTTTATTACTATTTAAAGTTTAATTTCTAAATAATAATAAATAAAAAATAACTATTCCAAACATTTTTAATCTACCCTCACTGTATTTGCCACGTCTGATTAGAACGATTTTAACCGATTTAAAAAACATCATAGTTAGACCAAGATATATTGAAATTGGATAATACTAGAATATAATCTATTTAGCCTTCCATGCACATGTACTAAATGTAGTGTGTTTGTCCTTAAATTTCCCGAAACCATATCGACATTTAAATTAATAAAAATGATTATTATAGATCATAAATAGAAATTAATATAGTCTTACTCGTACTTCAAGAAAAGAGCCTACAAATTCTTAAAAGGCCAGCAACGCACCTCCGAACTTTCTGGCAATAAAGTGTCCATAGGCGGCGGTATCACTTAATTTCAGGTGAGCCTCCTGACCGTTGGCCCATATATATATAAAAAAACAATTACTACACTATATGAGTTAGAGATACATATAATGTATTAAATATTGTAGAAATTAATCAATAAAATAATAGTTCGATATGAACTTACGTGAGCATTTTCGATACAACAATAATCTCGCAATCATTACGTTCTGGTACTGGCAGTTTCCGCGGATATTCCTGATACCGTTCGAAGCGTTCTCTTTCTTGCCATTCACCTAAAAATAACGGATACAAAATTTATTAACTATGGAGGTTCCAAGTTCGGGTCACAGCGAAAATAATCTATCGCCTTTAAAGATTGATGAAACTACTCGAATAACTTTTAATACTAATTAAATTTCGAAATCATGACTTTTTTGAAGTCATTGTTAATTTTTGATTTTTTTATTTAAATTTTTATTAATACAGTAAACCTCCTTATAACGCGGTAAACTCGGACCACAAATCTAATTGTGGACAAATCATTACGTTTTGACACTAATTATTTGACATACATATATATAAATATAACGCGGAATATAAAATCTAATGCGGTTATATGAGAACGGAAATCGCGTTATTTCTCATTTAACAAGATCAATTCACTTTTAACAACCTAAATAATTAAAATATCGTATAAATTAACAAAGAAACGAAATTGACAATTGACATTACCTCTTCCCGGAGATCTCTCACGGAAGGCCGGAGCACCGCGTCCTCTCCCACGACCCCTCGGCCCCCCACGTCCCCTGCCTCTCATGCCTGGGGGCTCACGGTTGTCATTCCAACTCCTATTATAAATCTCTTCATGCATATCTTCTTCTGATGAACCCATTCCGATAAACAATAATTAATTAAATATATGAGTGATGCGAGAAGTGCAGGGCTAGTGGCTTGATCGTTGATGAACATTACTCTCTATGTGCGCAATTTACGCTGGCTGATTAATAATCAGAAAATAGATATAGAAACAAGCCACGATTTAGAAGCACCACTGGATTTTTTAAAATATATATAATATGTATGTAGATTTTTTATACAGAAAAATGAGATTATACAAGCAAGCGACAATTAATAAATATTTAAAAAAATGAATGAGGTTTCAATTCCACTGCATGTCGTATTCTGAACAAGTGGATAAGGCCGCGTACTTGTAAACATACAGCCTGTATGACTACTTCGGATGGAACGTATAATGATGCTATAGAAAGACAAGCCAATGCTGGGAATGGAATAAATGAAGCGTTGCATTCCTTTATGTGTAGCCAAGAAATATCAAACACTGCTCAACTGCCCGTACAAAGGGGATCGCTCATCCCGACGTCAACAAACGGTAGTGAATGTTGAGTGTGGCAGAAAAAAATGAGAGCAGAATAAATGCCGTGGAAATGAGAGAGTTAAGTTTGTGGGGTGTAACATTGCGTGATAGGATAATTAATAATGAGAGAAGTGAGCAGTGTGGGTTAGAAGAGGACGTAATAACAAAGAATAGGAAAGAAAATGCTTAGCAGATTTGGCCATGTAGAGCGAAAAAAGTAGTATGTACAAGGCAACCGTGGAAGTTAAAGTCGACTTCGGTAGGCCTTGGTGAATAAATTGGATGAAGTGAGAGAGGTATGTCAGGACCGTAGCAACAAGTGGAGATACGTGGTCTCTGCCTTCCCCTTCGGGATAAAGGTGATGATATAAATAACTTATACTTTGATCATTTTAGGTTTGTGGTGATTTCAGGTATGTTTAAGAGGAATTAAACAATATACACAACAATTTTAAAACTTCTAATATTATTTTGATCTTTAAATGAAAATATTACAAAACGGGTCAAAAACATAGAGAAGAAAAAAATATACAAGTCATATACCTTTTTCTCCAACATAGTTCCCTTGGTTATCATAGAGATCATCTGGATTATCTTCTACCGCCATTGGAAGATTATCATTCAGAGCAACAGCTGGAGGTACATCTGGCTGTATCAGAACCATCTCACTCTGAAGTCTATAAAAGGTTAAAAAATTATTATTATTATCATCCCTCTGAACACATTATTTCATATTGCAAAACATTTTGGTGCATCAATCCAAATCAATCTATCAAATTTAAAAGCATCCATCTTTCTCCACTAAGCTGAATAAAAAAAAATCAATGAAAGGTTGAAAATCGATTGTAGCACATTTTGAAAAAGACCATCTCCAAGGTTTGATGTCAATTCAAAGTATCAATTACTATAAATAATTTACACTTAAAGCCCTAGTATATGTATTAACATCAAATCATGATATTACAGTTAATGTCTTCCTAAATTAAGTTTCATAAGTAAAATGAAACCTGAAGGAAACCTTTTCGGCAAAACATAATTCAATCATTATGCAAGATTATATAGTGGTATATATGAAAAATCACAGTAGATCAGTCTAATAAGTTATATTATTTTTTTAATAATTGTCCAAACAAAAATAATAATCAAAATTAGCCTAAGACCAACACTGGGCTCACTTATTTAGGTAATTGGATTTTAAGATGAAATTTGTTTAGTTTAGCTTTTAATTTTCGGTTCAATGCAATAAAAGACTTCACAAAGCACCAACTATACAGAAATTAATATGAAACATGCTTGAAGGGTTCATTAAGATGAGAATATAAGTGAAGATAAGCTGCACTGGCTCAAGTTATCTTGCTTAATGTCATGGTTTTGATCATTTCTAGGAAGGAATGTGACGTTAAAAGGATTAACATTCTGATCTAGTTATTCCTATATATTTTTTCTTAACTTCATATTCCAAAAAACCTATTGTGACTTGACTCTCATATAATATTTATTGATTCAAAACTAAATACAAACTTATCGTTTTTCAAAACTGATTTGACATTCAGTTTCCGTCCTTTGAATATAGAGCCATTTGCTTTAGCTATTGCATCTTGAGCACTTGATTCATTTCGAAACTGTACAAAGCCGAATATCCTGTTAATAACGATTCCATCAATAGGTCCATATGGGATAAAGTGATTGTACACTTCGTCAACAGATGAGTCTTCTTCCATAATACCGGCAACATAAATTCGAAGATGCGCGGTAGACCTGTCTTTCATCGCAGAGCGACCGACAGTCAGCATGTCTGTAATTTTGATAAAATTTGGTGACCAGTAATTATCAAATTTTAAAAGTAGGATTATAAAAACATTTATGTTATAACTAACCTGCCATTGTTGATAATTTGATAATATCAAAATATCCTTAAAACACTGTTCCTAAATTAAGGCGATTAAACAAAAAAACGTCTCCGTTTTATAACAAATTAAGATATATAATAGTACACGTTAAGTTATTATTGAACGTAATAATTAAAAAGGATAATGTTATTAATTTGTTAGTTAGTAATGTTTTTTTTTCTTTGGGATTTTTATGAGTTAGTACTTAGTAAAAACACAGGTCACAGGATAAAACCAATGCTGTTGAGTTGTTGACAACTTGACATAATATAGAAATAGTGGAGGCCACAGTGTATATCAGAGGGACTGGATTAGAGTACAAGACTTTAATCATTCCTTTTTTATTGCTTTACTATTATATATAAGTGATACATGTTTATCTTGTCTTAATTTATACAAAGATATAAGACTAGTTAAGAGGAGACTGGTTAGGTCTACTAGACCTGCACACACACGCACACGTCATATACATATGTAGGTTTATTGGTAATTCGAAGTATTCCCGTGGAGGTGATATGGGTGACTATTTATTTCATAATATTTTCCCTTAAAATGCCTTAAAAAATCAAACGTTATATGTATATATTTTTTTTTATATTCATAAGTGTACATTGCGTTACCTATATGAATAAAATATGATTTGACTTTGACTTTATAACTGTTTTCATAGCTCTCTAATACAAATAAACAACTTGGAACTTATCACCTCCTTAATTCCTCAATCAATCAATTTTCAGAGACATATCGTCGGCTTATTATATCAAGAAGAGTGGATAAATATTAAGAAAGGGACAGGACTACAGAGGAACATTAAGAAAGTTTCATAATCAATGTGAGAGACTGATAACAGCAATGACTCTGATGAATCTATGCATAATGATTTTTTGGATTCTGATTTTGAATATTCCGAATAAAGTTGTGTTTTATAATAAATATAGTTTTAGTTTTCCATGCAATGCTAGTCATTTTCAGTATAAATAGTTAAAGACTAAATACGTATAGTATTTAATTTCATAGAAATACAGTTACTATGAATCTAAAAAATAATAAAATAAAACCAGGGTATCCAGTAAGTTTAATCCACAAAATATATCAAACTTTTAGGGATACCATACTAAATGTTTTTGAATTTGCCGCGCTTTTTCGTTATCTTCTTTTATTAGTCAGACTCTAGTGTCATCGACCTATGGTATATTATAGTATACTCTGTGATATTGTAATAGTATTTCTAGTCTGTAGGGAGTTTGAAGTCAAGAAGTCTGTTTACAAATTAATATTTAAGGTTAGGAAGTTTTGCCTGCCCATATTCCTTAAGGCATAAACCCATTAGGCTATTTTGCAATAAGTAAGTTATTTACAACTTATTATTTTAAGTAAATTAGAAAATATGTTGTCAATATGTCCCATTTCATCATTTGACAAATGTATTTTTTTAGCTCTTAATACTTCCTAAATATTGTATATATATAATTATATTTCAAACAAATTCATTAAATTATTGTATGGTAGTACTATTATAATATATTATGTATAACAAAATAACTGTTATATGAGCCAAAAGCTCTATTTTTTCAAAAAGGTCCTAATGAGCAGTGTTAAATTTAAATTGTAAATTTGAAGCGCAATAATTAATCAAAAATAATTTTATCTTCAAGGTCGAAATATGATAAAAATTTGCAAAAATGTGAGTCTGCGTATTGTGCTTTATTGTGGTTAGTGATAATTTCTCTGATATCTACTAAATTTTTTTAAGATCCTTCAAATTATATATTTCAATGCCTCTTCGAAGACTTATGTATAATGGAATGAGGGCGTATAAATTAGCACTGAAAAAAGCATTTACAGCCAAGAATTTATTCTACACAAATGTCATAATTTCTATATGCCTCTCTACCACTGGTGATTTCTTAGAACAAAATTTTGAATTGTATGTTAAGGAAATTGAGAAATATGATTACGGGCGTACAGTCCAAATGGCTGTGTCTGGTATGACAACTGGCATAATTTGTCATAACTGGTATATTTTTCTAGATAAAGTTATAGTAGGTCGCACATTGCAAATGGTTATTAAGAAGCTGCTTTTAGACCAGTTTATTTGCTCCCCAATTGTGATTATGTCATTCTTTGCTACTGTTGCTATTTTTGAAGACAATCCATTAGAAAGCTTCACAGATGAAGTAGGAGAAAAGTTCTGGATTCTATATAAAGCAGAGTGGTATGTGTGGCCTCCAGCACAGATAATCAATTTCTACTTTTTACCTACTAGATATAGAGTTTTGTATGATAACACCATTTCATTGGGATATGATGTCTATACATCCCATATAAAACACTATAAATCAAAGAATCATTCTAAGGAAGATAACAATGAAAAGATAGAGAGATGAATACAATGATAAAATATGTTTGATTGTAATGATAATAAATTTTTTACAATAGCCTATGTGTTTGCTTTTAAATAACTAAATTTTTTTTAATTTTTTTTTCAGGCATTTTATAATGCAAGCAATAGCTGTCACATGGAGAAAACTTTCTACAAATGCACGATCCGCTAGCTCAATCACTAACCTAAAAAAAATAGGAAAAACAGCATTTAGTAATAAATACTTACTTTATACTAATGTGACAATATCTGTAACCTTATCAGCTGTAGGTGATCTATTGGAACAGACATATGAATTGTACACGAAAGATATGGAAAAGTATGATTTTAAAAGGACTATGCATATGGGATTTTCTGGTGCAGCAGTGGGGGTACTTTGTCACCACTGGTATAAAGTGCTTGATAGGTTTATTATAGGTAAAACAACCGATATGGTAATTAAAAAACTACTTTTAGATCAATTAATTTTCTCGCCAATAATGATTGTTACTTTTTTTGGTAGTTTAGCATTATTAGAAGAGAATCCTGTGGATAATTTTAAGGAGGAAGTGAGACATAAGTTTGTTACTTTGTATAAAGCTGAATGGATGGTATGGCCTCCTGCTCAAATTATTAATTTTTATTTTTTACCCACTAGATTTAGGGTTTTATATGACAATACAATATCATTAGGATATGATGTTTATACCTCACAAGTGAAACACAATAAGAACAATTTGAGAAATGCAGATCGTAAATCAGTTTGATATAGGTTAATTGCAATAGATAGTAAATTATTTTTTAATTACTGTACCATCAGATGATTATTGTGTATAATTGTTTAATGTAAATATTAATTAGTAAGAGATAAACTCGAGCTGTGATTGTACTAATAAATAATATATTTTTACAAACATTGTTGTTACCAAGTTGTAATAGTCGAAAATTGTTACATATCAATAAATACAGTAATGAATTGTTATGCAGTAATTTAATTTGGTGTCAAAAATGGTTCCTCCATAGTAGAATCTCCTTTGCTTCTTCTTAAATTGTGTAAAACATTGCGCACAATAGAGTCCTCATAGATTTTGTCAGGCCATGATTCTGATCGTCTGTATAAGTTGGACTCTTCTAACGTAGGCATGCGACTTGTTCTTGGAGTACCAAAATGTGATCTATAGGATCTCCTACTCTTCTGGAGGCCTAGTAAAGACGTCAATAGTTTATCAAGTGTCGCAATATCATTTATATTAGAGTCTTTGTTAATATTTTTATGAGACATTCCATTTGATATAATACTTGATCTTATCGATGTAGGAGTTCTGGCTTGTAGACCAATTGTTCGGAAAACCTGTAAAAATATAGATTTTAATATTGTCAGACCCAACATTGATATTTGGTCCGTCTGGAGTTGAGTACCAGGGTTTCCGACCGTACGATACTTACCGTGAATGTGGGATAATTTTATAACGGTGTACAATGGTAAACTAATATTGAATGATAATGTTTAATGTTTTAATAAAACTGGTTATTATCTTGGTAGATACGATTATTTGATCCATAATAACCAATATATGATAATTCTACAGCAGTAAAGAATTCTAGAGTAGTGTTTACTCCTTGTGAACTTGTCATCATAATTATAATATAAAAAGTTAACACTTAAATAAATAAAGAAAACAAAAGAAATCTAAATACCTCGTCTGCATTGTGACTTTGATAGCTCATACGTTTTACTTTACGGTAGGTTTCATCATCAAGCGCCTCTTGTACGGCAGCTTCTAACTTATCTCTCATTGCCTCGTCATCTTGATTAAGGTCCTCCAAGACTAATCTGAAATGAGGTCAAAAAAACAATTTTACCAACGGTTAGTATCCGAGTCAAGCCGCATGAAGTCCCTCCATACGAATAATAGCAATTTATATTAAGGGCAAGTCTAGAAATAAATTGTTTTTTTACGCCTTGCTTGGATCACTACTACGGCGGTTGAGAGTTCCAGTCGGCGGCGCAAGGATTTTAAGTATTACTGCAATTTATAATATGTTAAACAATAATTACTCACTCGGCCATATCATCGTCAGAACCAATATTATTTCTGTTAGCTTCACGTGCAATTTTGATATCTTGTTCCCAAAAACGTCGTAAATCTGGTGTCGAGGTGTAAGGGGCGGCGACCTCTTTTATTTTCAAAAATATAATAGCTGTTATAAATATGCAAATAACATTTACAATGGTCAGACAGCAACTTACAATTCCTGAAACATTATTTTTAACATGTATCCATAAATATTCCGGAAAATACAAGTATTTTAAAATCTAATTTGCGTGTATAAATTTATTCTGAATGTAGAGTTTTGAAATTTAGTCCACTCGCTATGGAGTGTACATTATTTTTTTTTATTAATAAGTAAGTAAGGAAAGTTCTGTACCTATTTACCATAACAGATATCTTTACATTACCTTTGTCGCCCTCAAAGCTGAATCTAGGTCATCTCCAGGCTAAATGAGTTGAATGCGGGAGCATTGACTGAGAACTGAGGCTCAGAATTTTTGTTTCCTTTTACACTGTTATAATATGTTTTTTCATTTGCAAATACTAATTACTAATATAAAATAAAATGTCCTCACCATTAACAGCAAATTCAATCGGCAAATAACTGTGGTACAGTGGTTCGTAAGTTGAATTTCCCGTATACGATTCCCCTTTTAAATGTGGTATTTTAACATCAGGGTATAAAAGCCAAATGCACGCTAGCGCCCAAAATAATCCCTAAAACATTTACTTTTTACTCGGGATAAAGAATTGAAAAAAGTTTTTTAAACATGCAAAATTGGGTTTGGTTTTAATGTCTTATCTTCTTATGGTTCTCTGAAACATAACACTTTTTATGGATAAATCTATTTCCTAGCAATTACTTTTTTAGAAGTATTACGAATTATTTTGCATACATAAACAAGTAATACTTGGAAGTGTGGTTCGAAACTGATTTTGATAAAAACCATAAAATATTAGTTTTTTTTTATTATCGTATATTATATTTTGTATAAGTGAGTTAATTTACGAGCTACAAAAGTCGTTTCGGTGGACACAACTTTTAAGTAACTTCCAGTTGATCTTAGATAGTGCAAATACCAATTACATGAAAACAATAAAGTTGAATTGAAGCTCTAAATTATTAAATAGGTTAATATATTTCTGTCTGTTATCCTGTGACATCTCAAGTAATTATACGAATGAAATATTACGACGTGAGCGATGCACAATCATTATTTAATAAGCAATATGTTCAAATTGTATTTTGAAATCGACATCGAAATCATTAATTTTATCATCAAATCTTATACCACTATATAAAAACCATTTCTATATCAAATCTTAATCGTTAATTTGTAAGAAATGCTTTAATATTTTAAAAGGTAGGTAGACAATATGATGATATTATATTCGTTGGAAATAATGCCTTTATCAATAAAAAAAAAATCAGCAAAATTGTTGGTTTGGGTCGTGCACAGCTTGTAAGATCACCTAGGTCTTTTTAAATAAGCAGAAATGGAGACAACATTGGAAGTCCCGAAATTTGGTGTATTTTATTTTTATAGATTTTGAAATATATAATCATAAATATACATACACAATTAACAACTGGTGGTAGAAGCGAAGCAGATATTGCAATACCAATGAGCGGACCCGCGCTTCCTTGAAGGAGTGCCAAAGCCACTCCTGTGCCAGAGGTCAATGCCCACAGCACTCCCATCCATAAGGATCGCACGTTACCCCTGAAGTATAATATAATAAATTGAAGATTATTTCTTGGAGACAACTTTTACTTTGGCCCTAATGTTGAAAGAGGCGTTGATATATTATTTTTTTATGCAAAATATTCCTAAATTATTACGAAGTCTCGTACCTTGCTTTCATCTCCTCCGTCGGCCAATCACCATATCCCCAAGGCATTGCAGTAGTTCCCAGAATAAGCCCAAATATGAAGCCAAAAAGTAAAGAAACCAACATCCCCATGATAAGACTTTCAAAACCACTTCTCACGAGGCTTTTATCGGCTATTATTGTGCCAAATGTTATCGACATCACGGGGCCCATTAGTGGTGACACTAACATGGCCGCTACTATGTTTGATGCGTTGTTTTCGACCAGACCAAGCGCAGCCAGGGAACTGTAATATATCAATTACAGTATATACATGTTATAAAACGCTTGTTTTGCGTTCAAAGTTGCGGCTTTTAAGTAAGAATTTTCAGTGACTGGCTAATTTATTTTCCGGGAACGTGTGTGTTAACGTAACGTCAAAATAGATAGAATACAACACATTACAGCATTAATTTCATTGATCTGTGTTCCCAAAACGTAAGACGTAAAGTATACGTTACGCAACTGAGCTACAGAAGCGAATAAACTAATTATTATGATGATAGTTGTTAATAAACTCCTCATTCAAATACGATCTCGTACATACACTACGTACATATTACGTACCTATAACACACATTTATGCAATCCACCATCGCGATCAAATTAACTTAAAAATTAATAAGTAAAAAGGAAAGGACTTTCTTAAAAATTATATTAATTTCATTTCTGTTATTGAGTAAATAAATCTTAAAATAGAAAGTTATTTATACTTACTCAGCTGTGATGATTAAAGTAAGATAATCGAAAGACAATTCCCCGCCCCCTCGTACGCCGTCAACAACTTGCTTCACTGTTAACTTTGATCGAATCGACTCGACAAATTGTCGCCAACGTCTCGCATCTTCATTTTTATTACTATGAACACATTTTTTTTAATGGCCCGCACGGTTTGTGCAAACACATTTTTCTTTACAATTTACAAAAAAAACTTAAACTTTACTCTTTATTGTAATTATAAAGTCAGCTATGATTAACTTTTTATCAGTCCATTCAGCTATGAGAAATAAAATCATTATTCAGTAGCATACGTAATCTAATCTTAATGATTATTCAAACTTCTATTTAACTACACAGTTTGCAGTGCAACCTTAGTTGTAAAAAAAAGTAGAAACTCATTCCGCAAAAGAACTAGTAACTGTTTGTCGGACTTCTGTATATTCGACATTTATATACAAGAAATAATGTACTTACATTATTGTCTCTTCGTCGAGTTGCCTTTCGAAGGACGAATGAACAACATTGCAGGGGAGGACGCTGTAATTTTTTACCAAAAACATAAATGTGAAAAGTCAATATTGAATAATGCGTCGACTTCACAGACAATAATCGAGATCTATATAATAAATTCCAAGTTCTGGGTTCAGGCTCAAGATTTGACTCGGCACACGGCGCGCTGCAAGTTCCTTTTTTGAACATGGCTAGATTTATAAGTAAAGAACAACTGTTTTGGATTGACGATGTACAAATCAAGTATAAGTTACCTAACAATAGATTTGCAGTAAACTCCAATACCGAGCTGTGTGAGGCAGTGAAGCATAGTCTCACATTTGTCTCCAGTGGAAAGTGGAAACATTACTTCGAAATAATTGCCCGTTTTGTCGCTAATCCACACTACATGCTCCACTTCCAGCTTTTTTAATAGTTCTTGCAAAATCTGATAAAAGCAAAATGTACATTTTCTTAGCATAACTTTATAAATATAATGTAAAATAATCAGACTTATATTAAGGTTTATAAATGTCGCAGCCAACTAGCTTAATAAGCCGTTCAATTAACATCCTAAATGATATTCAGCCAGTTGATCAAACAGCTACGTAATGACATGGATCGATGACGTTTTATTACTTGCCTAGCCTGTTGACTAATAATTTAAATTTAGTTCCACTTTCTGCCACCCACAAACTCGAAACTAAACTCTTCGAACTGTCAATATGGCGTCGGCAAACCACAACTTTGATGGTGTTTTCCAAATTTTAATGAAAAACAACAAGTATAATGGAAGAGTGTAGTGACGATAATAATGTGAATTTAGCTGTGACTGGGTCAAGCAATTTTAATTTGTAAAGATTTTTTTTTATGTCAGATATTTCATCTTTTTTATTTCTGCCACATGGTTACTCTATGGTACGAATGGCCTAAGCATTAGCCAGCCAGTTTATTAAATGTAGTTACAAAGGCTACGGCTGAATATCTTTTAGGCCGCTAGTTATAGGGCGCTGTTTAGTTAATAGGCTAAGCCGCTAATTGAACGTACATATTCAATTTAACATCATCCCACGTAAGCTGTAAAGCACTCGAAACTTCAGTCAAATCAAATTCGCAAGTATCAATTAGAAAAGTTTTATTTAAAAGTGTAGTAAAAATATGCTAATGAATTAGGTAAAAGTGTTTCTTAGTATTAGTATTACTTTGACAGTTGACATTTGACAGATGATATTGTAATGTGTATATTACCGATATGTAGTCATCAGTGAAATGACGAGTGCTCCTGGTGCTCACAAAAATCCTCGATTTAATTATGAATAAAACAAACATTTGAAGCCAATTACAAAGTTTGATATACAAGTATTATATAACATATGCGTTACCTATGTTATATGTTCTGAGACCGTGGTCAAAACGCGCAATTCTAATATTTATATACTAATATTTTGCGCAGACAGATCTACTAAATCCCTCTTATTTTACTACTACTCTTTATAGAGATTACGGTTGGAGTGTAACTGAAATAAATTTCGTTAAGTTTTTTACATTAAAGATTTTACGTACATTTTCCATCGTAATCAGCTCATCACTTTCGCTTATCTTCTCTAATCTATGATCATATCCATCATAAGCCCGTTGAGTCAAATGTATTGGTATACTTTTAGCCTTCTTATTCCGTAATTCAACTTCTAACTTGCATTTTGCGGAATCAACACAAATTAAGTTCCTTGGCTTACCATACTTAAGTAAATACTCAAAATTACTAGAAGGAATACACACAACAAATATTACACCAGGCATTTCGAATAATAAACAAATACTGAACGTCTTGAATATAAATATGTCGAGTTAATTTAATTATTATGTTATTAACGTTCAAGTATTACTTTAGCGAAGTGCCCGTTAATTGAATATGAGGAAGATGAAGTCTGAACACCTGTCCCCTAACCTTGTCAGTAGTAATAAAAGCTAGATCAAGGGTAGGAAATTAAATACTCAATTAATTTCTTGATTCACTATAATTCACTTTTATTCATTTCACTGATTTTACATAATCAATGATCAAATATCACTTGCGCGAAAAATGCCTATGCCACAGTTGTTAGGAGAATTTTCCCATCCCTACTCCGACTTGATTTCGGGCGAAATTTCGACATTAGTAAACATCAGAATGATGAAATGAGCAACTATGGCACATGCACGCTTATGTTAAGATTCTCAAGAATATATTTATATAATATTTACCGCCACGCAATTGCAACTTGACAGAGACTGTAGCTCTGCATTTCATGAATCACTGGATTTTGTAATAAAAAGTAAAAGGGGCCTATTACATAAATAATAACATCATATGATGTATGTCAAATGTAGAATTTACCACTTCATGATGTGGTCAACCAATTTATAGCCAGTTTTAGCTAGGTTTCTGATTGATTAGAGTCGACACGGGGTCTACACTGCAGATGCTTAGCATAGCAGATTTACGGATGGTATTTAAGACATTTCTATTAAATTATAAGCATATAACCTAAATCTTATTAAATTTCCTAGTACTGCCCTGCGATTCCTGCCTGAAAAGGTGGGAGCTTGTAGTTTATTGTTTATCAGAATACCAAATCATAAAATGACTGCTTCTCGACTGATTTGAGAACGACCGCCGATGCGAAAACCGCTGTGTGAGTTCGAAAAGTGAGTTACAGAATCGCAAGGCTGTATCCTCTAGGGGCAGACACGTCTGTGTCTGTTATTAATATTAAGTAGGTAAGTCTTACTTTACAAATCTGAACAAATATTTCGCCAGAAATCGAAACCGTTTTTGGTACGTTTTGGTAAGTGGTTATATGATTAATATTATAATGAAATAATACAGTACAAGTGACCTACTAACTGTAATGGGAGTTCTAATTCCTTGGGTAAAACACGAGAAGACTAGTATCGTAATTGGATTTGTTTAGAGTGTAGGGCATCACGCTAGCTGTATCGGAGTTGTGACCCAATTCCTAAACTCAGTTTAATATTTTAGCTATTGTCTTGATTGGGTTGAAAACCCGTTAACCATTACTCTGTCACGCTCATATGTAGAGATATATATATATATAATAATAGCCTTTATTCAGATACATTTATATTGAAACACATTTCCATTTTAAACCTCTTCTAGTGTATCTGTGTGTCCTTTTTGGCAAAGGCCTCTAAACTAAAATAAACATTAGAATTGTATAATAATAAAATATGACAATTATAAGTGTATTTTGAGTTGCATGCCTATGTTAAATGAGTGCCGAATTTAGGTTATTTGAATAGTTAGTGGTTAGAAATTGCGTTCTCAACACAAATCGTGTGTTGGATTACCGATTCATACACAGGTCGACGATGTGTGTCAGGCGCATGTCACATGCCTAAAGAAAAAGTATCAAAGAAACAGATGAAGAAATATTGATTAAATAATGTACGAGTTTACGGTACCCCCTAATAATATATCTAAATAGTGTTTGCATATTTATTCTTTACAGAGCCTCTCTGTATTATTCTTATTAATTTCGCACATTTATATTATTTATAAATACGTAAAATGCAGCTTTAACAAACAGCGTCAAAAACCTTCTAAAATAATTGAGAGAAGTTCTCCACTGCATTTCGTGTTATATTCATAAAACAACTGCAGTTAGTCGCTGTTCTTCTATTGTTTCCCTTGAAATATACCTATGTAGTTAATATGTTTGTTCTCTTATTACTTGGTATTGCTTTCTTAGATTTTAAAAGAAAGGGATTCTTTTGGGCGGCGGGAGGGGCGGAAAAAAAAAAAGGGGGGGGGGGGGCTCCTATTTTCTTGGCCCTAATATCCCTTATATTAGGGCCAAGAAAATAGGAGTTATCTTTAAATATATAGTAGATTTTCAAACGCACCGTTACCATAACCATGTATTTATTTTTATAAATTTATAAAGATATCCAACTGGTGGTTTGCTTATAAGTGTATGGGAATTAACGCACGTATCACCGATCAATAATAAATTCCAAATGATCAAGTTGTAAAGGTTGTAAAATAAAACGTTCCTATGTTCGAGATACAGAGGTAAATTTAATTTTCGAGTTATGGAGTGAAAATATGTACCAAAATGGCTTGGGGGACTCGGATTAAAGGGGGTCAAGATTTCAAGTAAGGAGGTTGGGTTAAGGAGGGGGGAGGGAGGAAGGAAGGAAAAAAAAAGGGGGGGGGAGGAAAAAGGAAAAAAAAAAAAAAAAAAAAAAAAAAAAAAAGCAAAAAAAAAAAAAAAGGGGGGGGGGGGGGGGGGGGGGGGGGGGGGGGGGGGGGGGGGGGGGGGGGGGGGGGAAAAAAAAAAAAAAAAAAAAAAAAAAAATTTTAAAAAAAAAAAAAAAGAGAAAGGGGGGGGGGGGGGGTTAATTATTTATGTTAAAACTAAAAGGCAGTCAAAAATTTTATTACAGTTTTTTGCTTTGAGAACAATTTCAATTCGATTATGGGCATATGCAAAAAGAAAACGATTTACGATTTCTATTTTCTTATGCTATTTGTATGTGCATCTATTTGTAAACACTTCTAGCACTATCTAGTTAGTTTATGTACGTGTTCTTTAAAGATATTGAAGAAAACTTGTGGAAAATTTTCTTGACCCTGTATAACGTTTGTGCGTCATTAAATAGGTACATTAAAGGTAATATCTAAAATAAGAAATATTGCAATTACGTGACGTCTCAGGACTATTATTTCTTCAGTGAACTTTGGTTTTTATATTTATTAACATTTGTATGGATATTGACTGAATACAGAATGTTAAACAAAACCAATTTTTTCATCAGAAATCCTACGTTTTTGGGTACCCTTTTATTATTTTTTGTTAGGCATGGACGGGATACCTACTTGCCATGAACAAAAGTACGAAATCACCTGTATTGCCCTAAATATATAGAATTGCTTTACAAAAAAATTTTATGTTCGTAATATCGATTTTTCAGTTGCCAAATTCTGTATCCATGCAAACTCATGAATGGGGCGATGATTTGTATTACGAAGCCAAAAGCACGATACAACATCATAAAGTCTATTCTTAGATGTAAAATAAACTTGCATTAGAATCTTCACGTGTAATGTATTCGGTTTGATGAGCGGTAACAAAAACAGCCGGCGCGCAGCCGTGTCCCGTTGCCCTAGCGTAGGGCGGGCGGCCGCCCAGTCGCGGCTCTCTCGGCCGCCGGCGCGAACACGCTTCCAACGCGCGATCGATATCCTTAAAACCATAAACCCATAAATTAATACAAAAAATATTACAATAATAGTGATAATTAACCCATGTTAACCTAAAGTGAGTTGGTTTTATTTGCGATGCTGAAACTAATATCGACGGCTACTGTATAACACCTGATCGGTATAATCTATTTATTATTAATATTTTATATCGTGTAAAATGTACGCCGTTGTGTGATGTATAAACGAGATATCCACCAAAGAGTTTTGTGTTACGTAAATGTTACCGCGACAGACATTTCGAAATCGATAGATTATTAATTTTGCTTGCAGGGTCCAAATGCTGTAAAATAACCATAGATTTTAAATTAAGAATGAATTTGTCCATAGATAAACAATAATTTGAAAATAATCTGTTGTGTTTCACACAACTAGATTAATTATATTTTTATTTTTATTAAAACAAATATCTTCAGTTATATAAGTCTATCCTTGTGACGTAATTTTCTTAAGAGGACGAAACTAATCAGAACCGCTAAGAGTACGTATACTAGTTATTAGTTAAATACATCAATACGATGACACAGTTTTTTTCTTAAACAATACTTGAAAAATGATTTGATACATAAACAGCTGATCCTGCGGTACTTTTAACCTTGATATTGTAGAGTACAAGGTCTTTTTGGCCAGTTCGTTTCGGGAGGTTCACATTGTGAATCCTTTAAGACAGTTATCTCATTTAAACTCAGATATGAATTCAACACACGTGCTATAGCTTCAGCTCATTAAAGCACATATTGTTACAAAGTAAATTTAGATTTTGTAAGCACAAACAATAGTAAACGTAGCATTTATTTTACGGGAATTGTGTTATAATTAAAGAAATCTAACACAGCGAGTAAATGCTGCCAGCATTAAAGATACTCCACAGGGAATATTTATAAATTTTTAACTATTGCTAAAAGAATACCAGAATATGCATATTTTTCAAAGCGAATGAATAAAACATTAACAAAAAGCGAACAACATTACTGGATTCTTCCAATCATAGGTATAATAAATATTTTATTATTATTAAATCAAATATTATCTCTTAATAACAAGCATATCGACCATTTAAGATAGTATAAGATCCCGCTATACAACGACCTTCACCGAGATGCTTATTTAATGAAACTTATTTTATATTTAATTTAATATGTCAATAAATATAATCCATATGGGTTGCCTAGCAAATTTCAGTCCAGAGTATGTTTAATTAATATTAAAAAAAAATTTTTTTTTTATAATTTGCATGTAGTAAATTTTTTGAACTTTTTTCAATCAATATTTTTAATCAGGGTAGTATTATATATGTATCACTATAACCTTCTTTTATACTAAAGATGTATATATACTTTAGTGTCACATAAAAAATATACACATAAATAATTAATTGATTAAAAACAACCTAACGTTTGCATATTCTATGGGCTTCATACGTTCGATTGGTATAGAATTTATCTAATAATCATACCGGTGAAATGTTTAAAAAAATATTTTTTTTAAATTAATTAAACATACTCTGGACTGAAATTTGCTAGGCAACCCATAT